TCTTATTTCAGTTACCATAAACCTATAGTTTCAATGATAAAAATTCCTGAATAACCTACATGTATTGTAAGATAATAAAAATATTTTAAACAATATTAACTTCTCATTTATTCAATAAAAGAAAAAAATTTGTTTTCTTATCGGTCACCACGCTCAAAAAGTGTAACTTGAATTAATATCAAAGAAAAAACTTGAATTAATATCAAAGAAAAAAATACTGCATAAATAAAATAATTATAATTGCATAAGTTGATAAAAATTGCTATGCAATAGCTTTACTGCGGCAGTCCCCGAGTGTCACACGTATTTTTTTTATATTACGATTATAAGAAAAAATAGAAAATGCATAATTATGAAGGTTTTATAATTTTTAGTAATTTTTGAAAACTTGACCCTGTAATTTTAAATAACTGGGTTAAAGTCGGATTCTAAATTGTTAACATCTAGATTATTTAGTAACATATATATCACCATTGTGATACCATAATAAATGGGTCAACCACCCAGTCAACCTAAAAGACAATTAATTTGAAACACGATACTGTTTGTGCCCAAGAAATGTAACAACACATGGCCCTTAGCCATGTGTATTCAAAAGATTAGAAATTTAAGAGATTTTAGAGTAGTTCGTTCAGGTTGTTCGAGCGAGAATATTGTTAAAATTAATAAGAAAATAAAAGTGCATTTAAATATATTTTTTTAATTATTTCATTAATAACAAAATATAACGATCCATTTTTCATAAAACTCGTAATATATGAGCTTTATTTTGAGGCAAAAAATTGTCTGTCGCTAGAGATTTACACACTCACAAATCCTTAACTGTTAGTGACATCACTGTTTTAAAATTATCTATTTGAGCGCTTTTAAAATCTATGACTTAGTATTAAAGCTGGTTCTAAAAGTTGTTGAAAATATTTTTAAACCAAAGAGACCGCTCGAATATGGCTCTAGTAGATTTATGCTTAAGAAAGGAACATTTAATACAATAAAAGCGTCTCATTTTTCGCACTTTTATGGAGATTGTTTGGCTTTTAGAGAAGCCTGTTTTCTATCAAATTCAGCTTTCAACTTTTGATAACATACAACACATCTTCTCTGTGTTCTTATATTTTTCAAACCGCATTCTCTGGTTGTATCTGTATCATCTTCTCTTGTTTCTTCAGCCAAAAGACCCATTGTTACATCTTTTTGAATTTTGTAATTCTTATATGTTTTTCTGTTATTTTTTTAATAATAATGTAAGCATTGACAAGTGCTGTACCTGTTATCAACTCGATTGCTAATTTTCTATACCTTTTTACCCCTCTTCTTTGTGCAGATGAATAGGCTTTCATTTGATCTGAGATGTCAATAAATCTCTTGCTGTTGTTATAGTCTAGGATTATTTGTTTTTTTGACAACTATATCATTTTCGGTTTATACATCAACCATACTATCATCGTGTATCATGCTCAACACGAGGACATCGCTTACCTTTAGAGTGGGAGGTCAATGTTGCCAAAATTATGAATGAATTATGGCCCCAAAGCTATCATTTTGCTTCTGAGGCCGCGTGAATTATATATGGTTCACGGGGGTAACTTCAACCCCTAACATTATTTTGCGTTTTTTTGTTACAGAATGTGTTTTTGCACTTTAATATAACCTGAAAATAAACAAATATATTGATGGCCGCTTAGATACGTTTTTTTTACTCTAGTGCGGCAGTTAACTAGTAAATCTGGCTCAATTTGTATTTCTTCGAAAATTTTGAAAACTTTAGCAACATCAGATAAAAACGAGAAACCATAATATTGTCAAAAGCAAATTCCATTTTTCTACTTGTTACATAAACACTTATAAAGAAGAAAATAAATACAAAAATTTAAATACAACCTGAAGGGCCTTTCAATTAAAGGCTTTCTCTACTCGTTGGATGAATTTATTTATAAACTTTCAATATTATTTAAGTATCTATAGCTGATGATGATGAATGTTTTTTGTAATGCCTATGTTGTATTCAACTAACCTTATAAGATTTAGTTAGTTAATATAAAATTAATTTTGTAACCTGTCTCATGTCATCGTGAGATGATCTAAAGAGATTAATAAAAAAAATTATGTAATTCGCCCCGGAATGCCAACGACAAATAATTATCCGTCCCTCGCCGCACTAGCTATGATTAAATGATCTCAACTAATACACAACCTGGTTTAATTATTTATTCCTCTTATTTCTTAAGTATTAGTAATTTCGGTGTGGCACGATTGCCCCGATGGTTTACTATGCCTGTTAATCTTAGGGCATGATTGCACCGTCGACCTTTTATAATCCGTTTGCCTGCATTTGTAAGTTACTTACGTACCTATTGTAGAATTTTCTTAGAAATACATTAGAACACACTTTCAATTTCTTTTCGCTAACATGCCATACATTTACTTAATACGTATTTTTAACTTATTTTTTTAGTTAATGATAATTTAATAATAATAATAATAATATTAACAATATTAAAGGAATATACATGGTAATTTTGTAAAGAAGCAAATCAATCCAATAACTGCTAAAGTATTAGTATACAAACCACTTATGATTTATATGTATGTATGTAGACAATTAATGTATTTAAGAAGAATCAGATAAATAATACTCGTATAATTACAATTTAAATATTTAATAAAGAAAAGGTGAGATTGCGAAGAACTATTAAAAGTATTTTTTGAGTTTTTTTTATAATATACAATTTTTTATTTTTTTTTGTATAAAGCTTTCAGAAGAATATTTTAATACATGCATATTTATACATAATAATAAATAAAACAATGTAGTCATGAATAAAAGTAGTTATTTTATTAAGTGATTACAAAAATTCACAGTACTTAACTAATAACTATATACATACTTAACTAAAAATAGTCTCCCATAAAATCTGATTAAAAAAATAAAAATTAGGATTGTTGACTATGAATACAAAAAAAACAAAATAATACACTAAATTAATATTTAGGGAGCTAGGAGGTGATGAAAATTGTGAATTTATGAAGGTTTAATGTTCATTTTTTTTATGCTACAACCACTGATTTTTTTTATTTTATTTTTATGTTATACGTGATGATAATGATGGGATGTACGTTGTATTAGGGCAAATCTACTGATAATGCCGCTTTTAAAATTATTGACTACTGAATCGAGATAACTTAATTTTAATTTATATTTTGTTATTTATTTTTACAGGGAGGTGGGTACTGTTTATCTTGACATAGGTATTAGCTTGAAAATCTTTTAAAACTTCCAAAAAGTTGAAAATATTAGGATGCGGGCTGTAAAATTGTTCGTTAAATTTCGAATGAAATGATTCACATGCGTTGGTGGTAAGTTCAGAAGTTGCAGCACATGAAGCCCATATTTTTGGTGGAAATGGAGACGCATCAAAAATGTAATTATTTAAAATATAGTCTGAAAATAGTTGCACTCTTTCATCCTGCGGTTGCAGGTTACATATGTCCAAGAAAAATGCATCAATTACCTCTTCGGAGGGTCCGAATGCCAAACCAAACATTAGTCTTAACCATTTTCCTATATCCGATTCGTTGTCTTTATAAACTGCGGTCAATCCTACATTTTGTATTTTTCTCCACCAACTTTGTGCCAAATGAAACCTGCAACCTTTTAACATTTCTGTAACTGCCGAGTGAATAGCTTTTTCGAAATCGGCAACTACTTCAACTGGATAAAATGTATACCCAAGTGATAAACATTTTCTTGAAATAATATAAAATATAGCCTTGTACGAGGCTTTTTCCTTATTTGGTAGAAGACAAAACACTAACGGTACATAATGGCCATTTTTAATTGCATGTATGGTGAAAAATTGGTAAAAATATTGCGTACAGCATTTGAATGTGCCATCTACGTAAATCCTGTCACAAGTACAAAGAAACATGAGATTTTTTGTACACGAAAATATAATAATATTGTTAGTACAATCGTTTTCCAATAGAAAATCTTCACCACTTACTGTTCTTACAGCTACAGAATTTAAACACTCGTGAACATCACTCATATTTCCCGGTAAAGGAGGCATTATAGATCTTGCGGCATATGCACACTTGCGAATGTTATAAATATCGTTTGTCGTCATTTTCATCACCATCGGAGAAGATCGAAGGACACTATTAATAATTTTAGATGGTCTTACTGTGATATCGTCCACTGCTTTTCTTTTCACAGCTGCTGATACAATTTTTCTTTCCAAATTTTTAACGGGTGAATGATTATGGGCACTTGGTTGCGTTAAAATTGTTGTTCCAAACTCATCTAGCACTACTTTTCCTGTACAAGTTCTGTTTATACATCTCCATTTTCTGCCGATAGCAGTTTTATCACTACTATAATATTTATATGAATTTAAAATTAAATTGCTTTTTCCGCGTTCACTTAAAACAAATTCCATTTTTATAATACAATAATTCACACTCAAATGAATAAATTTCAAAATCTCGAAGAACATTGAATTTTTCAAATAAATATATACCAGTTATATATACATTTATTAATAGCTTATTGAAGGGTGATTTCTAAGTACATTACAGATTAGGGAAAACCCAATAGATAACGATACTTTCATGACCATCGGTTCGGTGCAATCATGCCCATACCTTTTTACTAATCCTTTTCGACCCGGCTTATAGATTTGACCATCGGTGCAATCATGCCCTGCTCAGTAATTTGCATTTAATTATATAATATGTATATTTTTATTGAATTAGTAAAAAAGCTAAGTACAATCCTGGATAGATTCAAATGTGCAGACGCTCCACCTCCCTGATATGTTCTCCTTGTATAAACGTTTTCTGATATCTATGGACAGGAGTCGTTTTATGAAACTTTAGTCAGTAGGTTGATGTGTACTTTACAAAAAATAAAGCAGGGTGTTAATTTATACGATTATGTTTTACTTCAAACTAATATCAAGGTACAATAACCTTACAAAAATAAGAATTTTAAATCTAGTTAAAAATCATTTAATGCTCCATATTAAACATAATTAAATAAAATATAATTCAAGATTCTAACTTAAACCTATGGTATTTATCTGATTTTTTAATAATATTATAATAAAAATAATCTTCAGGATTAAGCTCCACATTCAATTCTTTTTGAATCCTAAAAATTAAACATTTCTAGAAAACCTATTGTTATATAAAAAACAGCTTTTACCTGTTGGTTTTTATTTTAGTCGGTGCTCGAATCGGCGTCCATTTGGACACCCGGTGCTCGTTAAAAATCATCAGCCCCAATACCGATATCCACAAAGCGAAAACCAACGTTTCGTTCCTCTCCCAATTCTCAAAAAATCTCGCAGAATAGCTCAAAACCTCGGCTGATTTGGCGACATCAGTTATATCGCCAAAATACTTTAAATAATTCTCAAATAGAAACGAAGCGAACGTTTGGGGCTGGCCGGAAAATTCGTCGACCAACGTTTCTATGTTGTGGCTCAGCCGCCAGGACGTGCCTATGAGTCTTCGTTTAGGATTCAGCACCCTGCCCAAGCCGTGAAACAGGCCCAAATTCTGATCTTTCGTCATCGAATTCAGTTTGTGTTCGTCTTTCGGACGTTTTCGTTTCGTCGATTTTTCTTCAGATTTTATTTTCGTCATTGGTAAATCTTCACAACCTAAATAATTCAAATTCTTGATTAGTCCGTAAATTTTGGACGTATTGTATAATCACATTATTAAAGAAAGCTAAGTACCTTTAGGCAAACATTCCTAACTCTAAAATATATAAATTGTTACTAAAAGCTTAAGGAAAGCACTGTAGAATAAGCAAATTATAACTTATTTGCAAAATTACACAAAAAACGTTCAAAAATAGTTAAAAACTCGATTATTGAACAACAATTTGCAAATATCACTTTTCTTGTTGGAATGACAACATTGGATAGATCGGGTGATATTACAGAACTATAGGTACACACAAAAATTAAAAACAATCTGTACAGATAAAATAAAATAACCAAACACAAAACAATACAACTTAAAACTAAGGAAAAATAAAAATTGAAAGAATAGGACCTGATGTAGGATCTGGAAAGTTATAACAGAACAAATAAAAGAGTTGAAATTGGCATTCATATCTATATCGACGGATATAAAACAAAACAAGGCGCAGGATGTGGAATATATTCCAGATCCTTAAACCGAAACATAAAATGGGATGTGAACAATACTGCCAGGGTAGTTGAAACCGAGCTCACGGGAATTATCATAGCAGCAAAATAAGTTACCTGAAACAATATCAGTGGGGAACATGCTCATCTGTAGATGACAAGCACTACTGACCCTAGACAGATCACGAATTTACTCAAGGTTAGTCCTAGAATGTCGCGAAGCTTTGGCGGAAGTATCCATCAACAATGTGGTCACCTTAAGGTGCGATTTCCTATCGGTCCAGCGTTTGCGGCCAGCCGCGACGTCTGGCCGTCGGTGACATAATATACAACGCATTTTGAATGTTGCTGTTTTGTTTGAAGCATCTCGACTCATCTCAGCAGCAGAGTCCCAACTGCTCAAAAACTTGTCAAGACGCGAAAGCCTACCCCAGCAGTCACATTGCGTTCCTCAAAACCCAAAACGAAGGGCTCCAAACGAAACAGTGGCAAGTCATTCACAGACAAGTGGAAGACAACGGTCAAAACATTGTACTGTTGATTGACGACGACTCTCTGAAGGCTTTAGAAAACCTGCAGCTAAAACCCTATCTGGGCCTAACTCAGGCAATCTTCAGAGTGCAAAGGGAGAGGAAGGAAGAACCTTCAGATGCTCAGAATAGTGCAAGTTAATCTGAGACACTGCAAGGCCGCCTCCGCAACCCTTGCACGTACCATTATCAGAGAGGATATAGACGTAGCCCTAATACAAGAACCCTGGATCTACAAAGGGCATGTGATGAGGCTCGGACAAACCAAAGGTAAGTTAATATACAATACCCAATGTGGAAACACTAGGGCTTGTATATACATACGAAATGGTCTAGACATCCTCAACTTACAAGATTTCTGCTTTAGAGACCTAGTAGCAGTCAGGATGGAAATAAACATAGCAGGCAACAAGAGGCAACTCATTTTAACCTCTGCATACCTTCCCTATGACTTGCCCAGCCCTCCACCAACAGATGAGCTGAAGGATTTAGTAGACACCTGTCGGGCCGAAAACCTGCAGGTACTCATTGCTGCTGACGCAAATTCACACCATATAACATGGGGCAGCAAGGACAACAACAAAAGGGGTGAGTCTTTACTTGAATTCATTCTAACCACTAACCTGGAAATATTGAATCGTGGAAACGAACCTACTTTTGTAACCAGTAGACGGAGCGAGGTTATTGATATTACCCTTGGTTCTTTCTCCGTTCCAAATCACATTGGCAAGTGGTACGTGTCTAGAGAGCCTTCGCTCTCAGACCATCGGCATATTCTCATGGAAATCGACAACGTCGATAAACCAGGAGATGTATACCGAGACCCACATACAACCGATTGGTTTAGATACGGAGTGGAGCTGGGGGCAGTGTTAAAAACCGTTAAAATAACTCTTAATACTAAAAATGATATAGATGAAGTTGCAGAACAACTACGGGACGCAATTATAACATCATATCACAATAACTGTTCGTTAAAGAACAGGAAAACTTCTAGGGAGGTGAGCTGGTGGAACACCGAACTCGCCAAACTCAGAAGGAAAACACGTAAACTTTTTAATAAGGCTAAAAAGACGAATGAGCGGGGGGAATACACCGAAACACAGAGTATAACAAAACTCTTAGGAAATCTAAGAAGGATTCATTGAGAACATTCTGTCAGGAAATTAAAAATACAACTGAAGGATGCAGACTCCACCGCATTCTAGCAAAAAATCCAATAAACCCTGTGGGGACTTTAAAAACCCAAACAGGAGAATACACTAAAACTGGAATGGAAACATTAGAACTATATACTTCTTAAAACTCATTTCCCCGATTGCACAACAAACTCGAATGCAGCAAACCAAACCCACACGAACTGGAACTCTCAAAAAATGGTCTCTAGCCAAGAGTGGGAAACTGCTAAACCGGTAGTTACAACAGAGAAAATAACATGGGCAATACGCACCTTCAATCCATACAAATCACCGGGACCAGATGGGGTACTGCCTGTGATTTTGCAACAGGCAATAGAAACGCTGGCCCCGCATATTTGTATGCTTTACAGGGCAAGTTTGGTGCATAAACGTGTACCAAATACCTGAAAACAAAGCAGAGTTGTCTTCATACCTAAACCGGGGCGTCCAACGTATGCCGTGGCAAAGGCCTATAGACAAATAACTCTGACGTCATTCCTATTGAAAGGATTGAAAAAACTGATTGATCAGCATGTCCGGCAAACCACTCTGATAGAGAGGCCATTTCATACAAACCAACATGCCTATGAATCAGGAAAATCTTGTGAGTCTGCTCTGCATCATCTTGTAACCAAGATAGAGGGAGGACTCAGTAGCCAATAAATAGTCCTAGGAACATTTCTTGACATAGAAGGAGCTTTTGATAATATCAACGAGCCAACTCTGGCTGCATAGCAACAATAAACATAATCTAACGGTTTTTCGAATTCCAGGAAAAACATATTTGTGCAATTTTGCACACCTGCATTTAAAGCGCCAATACATTTACAATGAGTCTCTCCCATAATCAGGGGCTGGTAACTCAAATCGAAAAACATGAGGTTGGTAATTTAGTACCACTCCAATTAACGGGATAGCGCTCGTATCGAAATGGCACCATCACTGTTTGGTAAGTAATATTTACAAACTTGTTTTTGATTCAGTGTTAAAATAATTGGTTTGTTATTTAAATTTCTTTTTGTTTTCAGTTTTTAAATGATCATTGTTGTAAAGAAAATGTTGGCCCTCCAAAATACCCTGTCGATCGATGAAATATTTGAGCCTCAGCTATCAATATCAAAAATTGATTCAATGCCATTGAAATCAAACAAGAAAACACCCTAAAATTGTCAAGGGTCCAAACGTGTGTAAGTTTAATTTATACTCAAAAGTTAAATTCATTTATCAGGGTGACCACGTAATGAATAAAAATTTGATAACTTCAAGTGCCGTATAAATGAATCACGAAAACAATTATCGGATGAAGAAATGCTCCTCAACCTAACTAGTCGACTCAATAACCATATGGCAAATTTTATCCACACTCAAATTTGCCTCGATAGTAAAAAAGGATGATGCTTCACTTCAATTTTTTCAAACTTATTTGTCACTCCAAGTCGCAAAACTTTTATAAAGATCTTGAGCACTTATATATACTGATTTTGTTACAGAAAACATTTTTGATAGGTTTGTTTTATAACTATTTAATTATTTAAATGGTGTAAATGCATATTTGTTTAAGTATTTCCATGTTTAAATAGACAAATTATATGATGTGGCGATAATTTACTGTAATAAAAAAAAAATAATAAATTGCATTTTATTTCAAGTTTGAAATTAATGCAAAAATATAACGAAGTAAAATCAAATAAAGATATAAATATTTGACTGGTTTCAAATCACAAAACAGTCAATATGGTTGTTTTATGATTTGAAACTAGCCAAATATTTTTCCAATTTTTTTGCTTTATTTGATTTTCTTCATTACATTTTTGCGCTACTACAAAGTTAAATTTCAAAAAGCCCGCTCGTGGCGGCCATATTGAATTTTAGTACCACTCCAATTTGATAGATGGCAGTACATCGAATTTTACCATTGAGTTTCCCATCTATTCATATTAGTAATCTATGCCCTTAATGGAAAATGACCAGCTAATTAAGCATTAAAGCTAGCCTTGTTATACTCATAGTTTTGTCTCACGACTTGCGCTAACATAAGAATAGTAAAACCCTTAAAATACATCTACAATTGCAAACAATACTTTATCCTTATTCTGCAAAAGAAATTACGCCAACATCAGACTATATCAGACGATGTCCCTCAACCAATCACAACGAAAACACCACCACTAGCGCAACTACTTCTTACACTCGACTCGACTGAACAAACTGAGAGAACGACTTTACCCATCGACGTAACATCATAGTAAAATTTCTCCCGTCGTGAGATCGACACAAAAAAAAACATATTTTTGAGAAGATGCATTAAAACCTGCTGCCTGTGAAATATTCATTCAACATAAATTTAGGTACTTTTTCAACATGTAAACTCGTTGTAAACTGAAGAAAGTTTAGTGTAAATAAAGTTGTTAAATGAAAAACACATTTAATTTCACTATCATCAAGCAAGAATCTGGCAATTTGTCTACAACATTATACTGGTCCAATATAGCTACATTATTACTCTCCATTGTTTCCTGTGACGGCGATTGAAAAGAAACAAAGTTGGAGAGAACTTCTTCGAAGCCGGAATTAGAAAACGTCGTCATCACAGAAAACAAGGTATATGCCCAATAGCCAGATAAGATAAAAAGTATCACTCAATATAACATAAGTCTTTTCACCAAGTAATAATCATTAAGATATTTTTTTTATAAATACGAAATCTTGGCCCAGATATCATCCACCACATATCATATATATGGTTAAAAATAATAGCCTTTGAATAAAATGCAAGAAATAGAAACAGACGATGTATATCCAACCGTCTGTCTATCCGATGCTGACTTAATAATTTTATTGAAAATTTATTATTGTACCTACTCGTATTATAGAAATTTTTTTATTCAATAATAATAATTATTACTGTATTATTCATTATTCAAAAACGTCACATTTAGCTGCCAGATGGACACATTACACTTATTCTTAAATAATACCACTATAACATATTCAAGAATGTTTTACTGAAATGTCGATGCACCCTCACTAATAGCTAATAAATTAACAGTTCAGCTGATTGGGGCGAATGACAGTTCGATTGGCTAGATTTGCACTTTTTAAACAGATATGGTTGATGTTACTACAGCGTTGGACTGTTTTTAACCGACTTCAAAAAAGGAGGAGGTTATCAATTCGTCGCGATATTTTTTTTTTTTTTATGTATGTTCAGCGATAATTCTTTAACACGGTGTCCGATTTCAATAATTCTTTTTTTGTTAGAAAGGGGCTACTTCAGGGGTGGTCCCATATAAATTTGGTCAAAATCTAATAATTGGGTCCATGATAAAATCCTCAAACTCTTCATTTTTTACGTATGTTTAGCGATAATGCTTTACCACCTTGTCCGATTTATATGATTCTTTTTTTGTTAGTAAGGGGGTACCTCAGGGGTGGTCCCATATAAATTTCGTTAAGATGTGATGGCATCTGCACGTTTTTGAAGTAGGTTTTTTTAAATTTTTAATTTCCAATACTTGTAACTAATTATCTCTTAATCTTTGCACCGTAGGTAATTCTGAACATAAAGGATAGTTCGCTCGTACTGATCTAGCACTATTCTAGTAAGACTACACTACCCTAGGTGAGCCTAAACATTGAGGAATATCCATCTGTTATTGCAAGTACTATATCGCAGTAAGCTAACTTAGATACAAAATGAAAGGACAAAGCAAAAATTATTAGACTGCAATTGAAGACATATGCTGTATATTCTCATGAATTCTTTAACTGTATATATTTGATGACAAATGTTTATTTGGGTGGGACACAGAGGTCTCGGTGAGAAATATAATTGAATCGGTGAGTGAAAGAACAATACATATCCAAAATGACCATTTTGAGAAAAACAAAAAAACTATTTTAAAGGAGAACTATGGGTTATTTGGCCTAATTATGTATTGTGAAGTTATAGAATTTTTGTTAACCGATAATAATATGTACATAAATTTAAAAATAAAATTATGCAAAATATGATATTTGAAAAAAATGACTTGCAGTTATACTGTTCTTTCACTCAATTTAAAAAAAAATGCTTTAATTTTTTTTGTAGCTTTATTGATTATTATTTAACAAACTTATTTGTAATTTTTTAATCAGAAACTTCATTTTTGACTTTCCAAGAAATAATATATGGTAGTAAAACTCTACGATTTCATCACTAAAGTAGAATAAAATTATCTTTATATTGGCTATCTTCTTTACGTTAGTAGGGACAACTTCTGAGTATGCCTTTTCTAATGGCGAGCATACACGTAACGGTCTACCGGATAAGCCTACCTGTGCAGGTATGCCTGCGCAGGTCGGCCTTATGTCGTAACGTGCATGTCTACCTGCACAGAAAGACCGTAGCGTGTATGCCCGCCATAAGGGTAACTGCAGATTGGCATTAGGTTTGATATCAGTCTAATGCGCCCCACACATAAAAGTGTGCGAGAGAAAACCGCCTATGAAGGCACTTGTAGTAACATATCCAGAAGTGTTACCAGTGTATGTAAACTGGCTGTACTGTGGAATGACAAAATTAGCTTTTTGTTCATCAGCTGATTTAGAGGTTTTTTATGAAAGTGCGACCACTAGTTTTTGAAATCTGTGTTAAATGTCTACGAAACGACATGGCTACTGAGTGAAAAAACAGTACATGCGCCGTACTTGTACTGTTCTTTCACTCAACCGAAAATTGAACAAGCCCCCATCGCTCGTATGATGTTGGTCTGTGTATTATTCTTTCACTATGTGATAGGCCTATGAATTTTAAACAATTTGCCTATCTCAGTTAAAATTACCGTTTTTGGCACTTGTACTGTTCTTTCACTCACCGATTCAATTTCTCATTCCCCAATTAAATAAAATTGTATACTCTATTTGAGGATAAAATAAATTAAGTTAAATATATTTTTGAGTATTTCATTAATAAATTAGCACCAAACTTTGCATTGGATCCTGGATTACTTCACAAATTAATAAAATATAGTGTTGGGTAATAAAATAAATCTTACTAGAGGAAAAATGCCTATTATAGTAAGTATAAATTTCTTTGAACATCACAAAGGGGAGTGAGGTAATTAAAGTCATGCTTTAAGTCAAGTAATAGAAGAAGTGACTGGGAGGGGTGGGAGGTTATAGCAGGGGCACAAGTTGGTAAGGCTTTTGGTAGGTAGACATTAAACCACTTCTGACTACTTCGAGAATTTCGCGGTAATGTTTATCTGTCAGTGGTGTTTCATAGAATAAGTAATTTTAAATTGTTACCGGCGGAACCAGACAACCAAATGTATTTGTAGATTAGAAATAATTATTAAACAAGTATTATAATATCCCAAATCATAATTCTACAAAATTTCAACAACTATTCACAATTTATTCAACTATTTACCCAAAATTGTTATTAATATCTATAAAATAATTAGGTACGCCAATGTATCGTGTCCATTTCGGTTAGCTTCGCTGCAAAACTGTCAATTTCTGTGTATGAAGTGGAAGAACTGCGAAAAAACCTTTCCAACTTCTGCCCCTGCTATACTATACTTACCTAATAAAGTAGCCATATGAAACTGGTTCATCGCATTCCTGATATCTCCATCTGCAGATGCTAAGATAGCATCTATTATTCTCGAGGATGGTTGTTTAAATATATCAGAATTTGATTTTACCAATTCTTGAGCTCTTTTCAGAGCTATCTTCATCAATGATGGTGCACATGCATTAAAACTACAAAGACAATTAGCTTTTCTATTATTTATCCCCCTACATTACCAAAAAATAATTTTTTATAGATTTATAACTTACCTAATGTGAGTTACATCAAATTTTTGTAAAATTTCATCTGGAAATAAGGTTCTCTGTAAGTTCAATCTGGCAGTGCTTGCCTCTGTACATATGAAAATAATCGGTTGTCTAGTTTTATACTTGCAAGACCTGAAAAGTATGGCTAAATTTAAGAATCACTGTTGAAAACTTGTATTGAAATAACTTACTCCAAAATCTCAAAAAATTGCTCAGGATTCTGTATCACAATGTTGGGAAAATCTTTGACCAATGTTATTCTATTACGACGAGATGTTTCAAACAGCGAATTATATTTAGATTCTGAAAGGAATTCTATGAAATAATCGATTTGTTTCATTCCTCTATATTCATATTCTTGGTCTATGGGATTTACCCATTCAGATATTGAAATGTCAAGAATATTACATAATACTGAAACTGTAGCTGTTTTTCCAGAGCCAGTAGGGCCTGACAACAGAAGGAATTTTGAAGTTTCCTAGAAAATACAAAAAGGTCCACCTTTTAATTATATTTGATCAAAATCTACAAATTAAAAAAACTATAGAATACAAGTGTTAGTTTTCAAGAATTAAAATACGAACAAATATTACACATTTAGCATTCTTACTGATTTATTCTGACAGACATTCCATTTAAACCATTCTTCGACTTCTTGAATTTTTTTCGGATGTACAGCAAGTTCGGAAATAGATTTTGGCGATAGTTTTTCATGGAAATTGAAAGATTTTCTCACGACAAACGGTTTTGAAATGTTTTTATTAGATACATTTATTTCTTTAGAGGAATAAGTGGATTTTGGACTATCTTTTTTTGTTAAAGGTCCAAAATCAAAAGCCTTCCACTAAAAAATAAAATGAAATATAATGTACAGTTATTTATATTTTCATGTAGCTCACCTGTTTAATTTTTTTTGTAGTATCCATAATTATATAAAAAACCCAGTTTCAATTTTAAATTCAAAATTGTTTACATTTTTGTATAACTAACCACAGAATTTACATTTTTGTATAACCACCAGTGTTGCCACACCAATTAATTTTTTCGTAATAGAATTTTGAACCAAAAGGTAATAAAATCGTAATAGATAATATTTTAAAGTAACAAATGTACCAGAACTATTAGGGTCGATTCCACCGTTGTGTTAAACGGAGATTAAAATGACATTGTTAATGTAAAACTCATTTTAAACTTCGTTTAACACAACGGTGGAATCGGTCCTTAATGTAAAAATGTCATTTTAAACTTCGTTTAACACAACGGTGGAATCGGTCCTTATTAAATACATTTAACAATAAAACTTTAATATTATTTAGTTGAAAGAAAATTCTTTCTGCTGCTGCAAAAGAATGGGGTAATGTTAATAAACCACAATTTTTTTTTAAATTTGTAAACATTGGTTCATCCAGTGAATTTTTTATTTTAAAGATGTTAGCCCAAAATTCACCTAAGAGGAAATTTTTGTAATTTAATATTTCTTCAAAGTCTTGAAGGGGTCTACGTTCTACAAGATATAAATCATGCTGAAATGCTGGAGGCTGGTGGGTAATCCCCTCTACTAAAATAAAAACTAACACATAAAAAAATATTACAATTTAATAAAGTGACGCCCTATGGTGACGCCTATCTTGGATTTGTTGAAACAACAAAACACAGACAACAAATTTATAATTTCTAAAATTTTTTAAGTATGGGCTCTGAAGTTTAGATGGAGATACTCATAAAATTGCTCAAAGCGGATCGTTTGCGAGCGGCCATATTGCCTGACAAGTGATCGTTTTAGCAAAAATGTGTTTCACAACCAACTGGAGGGGGGTAGAATGCCAATGTACATGTTGTACTATTAGAACTAGGTGCGACTCTTGGGCGCAGCCATTTTTATTGTTCATCTCACTCGGGACTATTTATAATAACCATTTTCTGTTTCACATTGTTATTGTTCAATCCACAAGCTGGTGGATCAGACAATAACAATGTGAAATAGAAAATGGTTATTTTAAATACTCCCGAGTGAGATGAAAAATAACCTATCTTCGCCCATAGAGTCGCACAAGCATTCTACCCCACTCCAGTTCATTGTTCAAAACCAATCCAGCCTTTGAATAGTAAAATAAAAATAATTAGCTACGTTTTAACTTCAAGGTATAGGCACAGATTACCGCATAGGCTTGTTTATTTTCAAAAACATGGATGCTCAATATATATAACATGTATATAACTATCAAGAGGTCTTTTCCTTTGCATCGAAAGTGTAGCACGGTAGCACTGAGCTACACCATTGAAAATATCGTTCCATTTATACAAATTTTATGGATGGAACCAAAGACTATATGTTGTAATGTCTTTGGATGGAACCATATTTTCGTAGCTCAGGGGCGCTATTTTCAAAGTATGGGAGCACTCATTTACCTCAAGATTCTCATCAGAAATATCAATGTGGAAAAGCTGTTTTTTTAAGGCCTCGAGGATTAAAATTCTCAGGAAAATTTTAATTCTTTCTAAATAAACCGAGAGAAACAGTCAGTTCACACTGGCCCTATACAGAGTGTTTCAAAAAGATTGGTCATAAATTATACCACGTAATCTTGGGTCAAAAATAGGTCGATTAAACTGTACTTACCTATATACAAAAGTGCACCCAAAAATAGTTACAGGGTGTATAAGATAAAAATTTAAATTAATTTTTTTAACGTTGCTCTTAAACCGTTTGACATTTTTTCATGAAATTTTATATGACGTGTTGAAATACCATGACTAACAAAATCGGGGTAGAGGCAATATATTTTTTGTTATTTTTGTAGGATTTTGGAGGGTGTCACCGCCCCTTTCTCTACTCAACTTTTTTGTAATATAAAATTTTATTAAATATCGAATGCTACTAAAATGCAACATCTATTTGGAAACTTTTTTGTCTCTTTGTATTTGTTTGTAAAATGTTTGGTTTAGACGATACAGCCACTTAAAATGACATCTTAAAAATATTTAATGTAATTATACGTATGCAAAAATATCAAAATTCGATTTTCATAGTTAAAACTATGTAGTAAGTGTATACAGGAGGAAAATGTAATTTTGAACACCTGTTAAATTATTTTTTTTTTATTTTGATGACATTAGTTTGCAATTTAAAAATAAACTTAATTTTGATATTTTTCATACGTAGAATTTCCATTGAATATTTTGAAGTTGTCATTTCAAATGGCTGTATCGTCTAAACTAAACTTTTTACTAACAAATACTAAGAGACAAAAAAGTTTCCAAATGGATGTTGCATTCCAGTGGTGTTTGATTTGTAATTAAATTTTGTACTACTAAAAAGTTGAGTGGAGAAAAGAGCGGTGACCCCCTCCAAAAACCTATAAAAATCAAGAAAAAAATATTGCCTCTTTCTCAGTATTATTAGCCATGGTATTCTAACACGTCATATAAATTTTCATGAAAAAATGCCAAACAGTTTATGAGCAACGTTAAAAAAATTCATTTAAATTTTTATCTTATACACCCTGTAACTATTTTTGGGTGCACTTTTGTATATAGGTAAGTACGGTTTAATCGATCTATTTTTGACCCAAGAATATGTGGTATAATTTATGACCAATCTTTTTGAAACACCCTGTATAAGAGCCCTAAAAATACTGTTTTATGTTGACGTATGACATTTCTCTTGAGAGAAATGAATTCTCTCGAGTTTGACAATAGCCCTCAACACGTAACGAATTTAATAGAGAGAGACATTTCATAGGAATTGCATTCTGGGGAACGAAGATAGTCGTCTCAACACGTGAAGAATTGAAAGATGAGAATCCCAATGCAGATCTAATTCTCTATCACATGATAAAAAATTCACAATAGGTCTTTTCCTTTGCATCGAAAGTGTAGGACCGAGCTACTCCACTTCTGAAAATATCGTTCCATTTATACAAATTGTATGGATGGAACAATATTTTCAGAAATAACGTAGCTCAGTGCTACACTTTCGATGCAAAGGAAAAGACCTAATGGGTGCTATGATTGAACGTTTACGTTATCCTAAACGTACTTGTTAGGCCGAATTTTAAAAGTAACGAGGCAAGTTCGGATGATGGAAAACTGTTAAATTAGAAGATAACAGCCGGAAAATAACAGTAACGTGTTGGAAAAAGTTTTCGATCATACGAACTTGCCTCATTACTGTTAAAACTCGGCCTAACATGTACGTTACGGATAACGTAAACGTTCAATCATAGGACCCATTAGGGAGTTTTAGCAAACACCCGCTAACCATCCGCTAACGTTACCTTAGGGATAGACTGTAATCTACTCCGTTCAATCTTTATGAAAAAGGTCACAATCTAAGTTTAACGTAACGTTAGCGGAAATCTTACGTACATTTGCTAAAACTCTCTATTTATCTCAGATGCATCCGATGTGGATATTCAAACGCGGTAATAAGTAATCTAATTCATGAATGAACAATCTATATAATTATATCATTGGTATACACTTGTCAGCTGTCTTCTGTCTCTTGTAATTTCGTCATTTCCGTTCTTTCTAGCGATGGGCATAATCGGATTATTTCAATAATCGGTTACTGGCGATTCGAGGATTTTCATAATCGAATTATCCTCGGATGATCCTCGGAATCTAATCTGTCACCTGTCACTTGTCATCGTTCATTCTTGCTTTAATAGTATCCAAGGTCAAGCAATATTTACGTTTTTAAACTAAAGATAAAATGATAAAAGTGCGTCCGAAGTCAATTGTTTGGAAATATTTTAAAAAAGTTGATGGCAAGACAGTTACTTGCCAAATTTGTAAAAAAGATTAAAAATATTTTGGCGGTACAAGCAATATTAAACAACATTTAATTAGAATCCACCCAATCCAGTTTGCCGCCGAAAATGATACCCCTACGGAAGAAGAAAGTTATTTGGAAGTCACTGAAGTCTCAACACCACAGCCTCAAACTTCTAATATTACAAACAAAATTCAAGAAACACAAGAATTTACTTCTCTTTCGGGGCCTTCTGGCGTAAATACATCCACATCAGAAGTCATATCAAGAAAAAGACCCAAGCAATTAAAATTATATGGTGGTGAAAGCAATGTTGAGATATCGGAAACAAAAATATTTTGTTTTTGTTAATTTTTTTTTAATGTTTATTTTCAATCATTTATTTAGTAATAAACTAATCTTCACATTTTATTATATTTCACTGTAAATCATTACAAATTTTAAAAAATGCAACTTCTGACCCATTCAATGAATAGAGTCCCATGTGGTCCCGTCCCAAATGTATCAATTATATTATATAGTTCACTGAATCTATCTCATTTTTTTCTACCCTATATCAATCCCCAGTTGGACAAGGTGTTTCGCACTCCCGCTTTGCGCACCCGAATCGGAGGTTATGACGTGCACTGACAGCTGACAGCGATTCGTTTCTCTAGACATTGGTTGATCCGAACGAATATTTAACCGAATGAATCCTCGGAACAAATAATCGGATTATACCGAGGATTTTGATACTCGGATTACCGAGGATTTTTAATTCGAATGATCCCATCACTAGTTCTTTCTTCTCGTCAATTTGCGGCCATTGAACATGTAATGAGAATAATGAGCATAAAAGTATATTTTTTGTGAATTTTATTCGTATCAATAAACAGAAATTACAAAAATGTCGGACAGTGAAAGCGCAGACAAAGACAAACCAATAACTAACGAAGAAACCACCGAGAAACCGGAGGAACTTCCGGTAACTTGGAAAGATTTGGTAAGTCATTAAACACGTGGTCCCCATGCGGCGTTCCGCTACAATCTAGAATCAATTTAGGGTCTTGTAGATGCTTTGTGTAAAGCTTGCGAACAGTTAAAATGGAAAGAACCGTCGAAAATTCAAAAGGAAGCCATTCCGCTGGCTTTACAGGGCAAGGATATCATTGGATTGGCTGAAACTGGATCTGGAAAAACAGCTGCGTTTGCTTTGCCGATTTTACAGGCCCTTTTAGAGAATCCCCAGAGGTATTTTGCGTTGATTTTAACGCCTACAAGAGAGTTAGCATTCCAGATATCTGAGCAGTTTGAAGCATTAGGTGAGTGGTTGAATTGGAGGGTATAAAAATTGTAAGGCGGGCTTATTGTAGGCTTTTCTAGGTTCTACTGTGGGAGTAAAATGTGCAGTAATAGTAGGAGGAATGGACATGATGTCCCAAGCTTTGATTCTCGCCAAAAAACCTCACATTCTAATAGCCACACCTGGTCGATTACTTGATCATTTGGAAAATACCAAGGGCTTCAGTTTGAGAGCCCTGAAATTTTTAGTAATGGACGAAGCAGATAGGATTCTAAACATGGACTTTGAAGTCGAGGTGGACAAGATCTTGAAAGTTATACCTAGGGATAGGAGGACATACTTATTTTCAGCTACAATGACAAAGAAAGTAAAAAAATTACAGAGGGCTTGTCTGCAGGAGCCTGTTAAAGTTGAGGTGTCCACGAAATATCAAACCGTGGAGAAATTGCAACAGTATTATGTTTTCATACCTGTCAAGTTTAAGGTGAGTAAAGGCATTTTTATTTTAAATGAACTTTGTCATTTGAAATGGTTGTCTGATGGCACACAAACCACAAATGAACCAGGGCCAGCATGTACCTACAGGTTTTTATATAAAATATTTTATTTTTTTTACTTGTATTTTTTATTCAACTTTATTAATAATTTTTAGATAGATTGATACTTTATTGGAAGTAGGATAATCTAATGTACAAAAATAATAATAGTACAAAATAACTATACTTAAGAAGTAAAAACAATACAAACTTTAAAATAGTTCACATAATCTATGTTTAACAATTTTGTTAGTAGCCTACTAAGAAAATACGAGTTTGAAAGCTTCCCAGAACAGTGGAAAGAGGCAAGAATTATTCCTGTTTTTAAATCAGATGATATGACACATAATATTGTCCTGCATTGTTCTCTGTCAAATTTCCTGAAAGTCTTTGAAGATAGTTATTTACAATCACATATCCATCGGTTCGCAACCTAATATTGCCTTCGCAGCTACTGAAAGTAATTTACTCATAATAATTTAACACTTATCTGAAGCAGTTTATACAGGTCGGCAAGTGGACATTATTTATAGTGATTTTTCAAAGGCTTTTGACAGAATGGATGATTGTTAACCAGTTTGGTTTTCTCAGGCCTTTATGAGGTTCTGTGAGAAACCACTAATCGGTGAATAAGTAGAAAACAATAGATTGATCATCAGATTTAACATCTCATGATTTATTATGGGTCACTTAAAATGTAAATTGTACCAAAATCAATCAGAAAATATGAATGTACTCAAAGAACGGATACACATTGAAATTGCAAAAATAACTTGACAGTTATAGAGAAATTTCGCGAAGAATTCAATGCTTGTATTTCAGTTGAAGGACATTAAAGCGAACTCTTGATTTAAATTTGGTTGTATTTAATAGGTAAATAATATTTATTCTACAAATTCCTGTATTTAAGATGCAAGTTTTAATTTCTTATTGGTTTTTACTATCTTTAGGTAGGTCTTTTACAGGACCAATTTCTTTAAATTTTTTCCCAATTTTGCTAACGCCCTTTTACAAATAGGAATCTACTGGTTTCAAGATTATTCTATAAAGTCGCTGGTATATGAAATAATGAATTTATTCTTTACATTGAAAAGTGTGACAGCTTCTGCTGTATACTTAATAAGCAAAGAAAAAATATTTTATTTAAAAATGCAAAGCACTTTCACCATTTTGCCATCATCAGTGCTTATTGTAATTGAAGGACTTTTCAATAATATTAACTGTCATCATGTATTTAAACAATAAATGTTTGAGGCTACCAACTTGCTAAATCATCATTATTTTATTTAAAATTGTTTTTGGTTGATGTCTTGTAAATTAGTTTTTTTACCCTTTTCTTAAGCAATTTTCGCAAAATTATTTTATCTTCTACATTTAATCCCTATAAGTATATTTTTACTATTTAAGTTTTTAAACTTTTTTAACATCCTGTATATTTTTAATTCACCGATGAGTTGAATAAAGAAAAAATGCAAGGGAGAAATAAATACTTTTTGCAGAAAATCCACTGATTCATGATGATTATTTTGCATGGAAATGTTTTTTTGCTGAATTGATAAAGAACTTGATTAAGATCATTTGAAGGTATTTTTATTATATCTTTCGCTAGTTTTACCTAGTTCGGAATTCGAGTTGCCACTTGGCTTAGTTTTATTCATAGCAGAAGTGTTCTTAATAAAAATTTAATTCAAGTTCTGTTTGTTTGGCCAGAATTGCAGATTGTTGATATTCTTTTTTTAACATTTTTAGGAGATTAATGTGCTTGTTCAGAATTTATTTTTTTAATATTATTTACTGCCTCACTTTTTTCAGGAAATTGGCATAAAACGTTTCAAAAAAACTATTAAACATAACATTGACTTTTCCGGTTCTCAGTCAAAATTTATCTGGTCTTGTTTAAATGAAGACCATCCTTTCTCTGTGATTGTTAAATTTTTTTATCTGTTTTATCTGCATTGATCTGATAAGTAAAAATTATTTACTTTACATTAATTTCACTACCCTCTAAATTAGTTATTAAGTTTGTGTGCACCATCAGGCAAACTATATTGGACTTCTTTGACAGGAAGTTAGAATGCTTAATTGTCTAAGATTCCTTATGATGCATAAAAAGTATATTGACAAAAACTAATGAAATAATTCAAATTTTTTCGTCACTACCTCTGAAGTTACTTCTAAAAAACAAAAATAAATTCATTAAAAAAAAAACAAAGTGTAACTCTTTATTTTTACCAACAGGACGTTTATCTGGTTCACATTTTAAACGAACTAGCCGGAAATAGCTTTATGATTTTCTGTTCCACCTGTAACAACACCATAAGAACCGCATTGATGTTACGAAATTTAGGATTGACTGCTGTACCATTACATGGTCAAATGTCTCAAAATAAACGTTTGGCCGCTTTAACGAAATTCAAGGCCAAAAACAGATCGATATTGATATCCACAGATGTCGCTAGCAGGTGTGTAACGATCAAAATCATTAATATCAACTTTTTCTAATGGTTTATGTATTTTGCTTTCCCATGATGTATAACTGTGAAATTGATATAATAATATATATGAAAATTCATCTATTTTATTCGTCACTACCTCTGAGGTCATTTCGTTGATATTCTAAAGGCAATCATCAGTTTCAAGACTTCTAATGGCCGAAATTTTCATTTTAGAGGTTTGGACATTCCCCATGTTGATGTGGTTGTTAATTTTGATATACCAACTCACAGTAAAGATTATATCCATAGGGTTGGTAGGACTGCAAGAGCTGGAAGGTCTGGAAAATCTGTCACGTTTGTAACGCAGGTAAATAGTGTGACTATGGGTCAATTTAGAACGAACATCTGCTGATTTAATTTATTAATGCATTTTTTTAGTATGATGTAGAATTGTATCAAAGGATAGAGCAGTTGATAGGAAAACAGTTGCCTCTTTATAAAACTGAGGAAGATGAAGTGATGGTTCTACAAGAACGAGTAGCTGAATCACAAAGGATAGCAAAGATGGTAATTCATTTCTTGCAGTATTCTGATATTCGCTACATATATTTTCTTATTTTTTTAGGAAATGAAGGATTTATCTGATAAAAAGGGTGGAAAAAGGAAAAAAGGCGGTGGTGATGACGATGATGATACCGAAGGTGCTATAGGCGTGAGGAAGAGGTTAAAAGGAAAGCAGAAGAAAACTGGACGGAAGAAATAAACATAGTTTTAAATTTATAAATTTATTTAAGTTTTATAATAAAATATTAAAAATAACATCAAACTTTGGTATATAATTGTGTATTTGTGAAATAGTTAAATCAACACCTCATACAAGGTTATCTCACTAGGCGGGTAATAGGTTATTACAAAAAGTGGTAAAGCTCTGCCATTGTTTCTTTAATTAAAAAAATCCAGTTTGTAAGCAAGTAAGTATACTGGTTAGATGTCTTAACAGGTAAGTGGTCGTTGCAATAAAAAGTAGACCAGTCGACCTATACAGTAGATATATTCAACCAACTCGAAATTGTTTTACTGGATGTCCCATTAGTGCGTAATTGTGTTATAGACACACAAACAAGTTTTAAATAAAAAATGTTTAAAATACAGACTTGTAAGGTACCAAGCTAACGAACCGTGGTGGTTCATTTTATACAGTATTTTGAAACCTGCCATTTTTTTTAAATTCAACGCCCTGTATATTAGCAAAAAATCCTTATACATATTTGTATCAACTATACCAAAATTTTAGTGTGTAATTGAAGAAGAGCTTTTTTATGATTGAAAATACGAATACATTTTTAGTATAAAAGTTATATGACCATATTTAACAATTATTTTTAAATATACAAGGTGGTCCATAAACGAGGGGCTGACCAAACTCATACTTTTTAAAGCAAAATACCCTGTAGGTAGTTATACATGTTTTCACATTGTCAAACAATTTTTAATAGACTTCATTCGTTTGCTATGTTGTAAATAGGGTGTCAAAACGCGAGGTTGCGATTTGGAATACCCAGTATGTTATACCACCAATTAATTTCTCTATTTTTTTTATTCCTTATATCAATCGTTTCTATTGTGATGTCAATTATTTCTGAAAAATGTGTTAACAAAAATTATGTTTGTTTGACTCTTGCTTTTAATTGTCCTAAAGTTGGCTGTTTGATTCGTAATTAATTCAAGACGCCTCTCTGTTACAGTCCTCGAGTTTTACCTGTAATAACCAAGATGTTTTAAACATTAACCTAGAGCTACTGATTATAAGGACACAAAACATTTATATTTTTAAAGGAATTAAGTTGAAAATAAAAATTTTTTATTTGAAGAATAATGAAAATCAATTAGACCTACCTGTTTGTAGTTTTGTAACTGACCAAGGTTTCTAAAGCGAATTAGAATAATGTTAATTTTTATAATAAAACCATCAAAATCTTGAGAAAAATGCGTTTAGTTTAGTTATAGGGAACAAAATAAAAAAATCTGATGTGTCCAACACATAGCTTTTTTGCATAGTTATTACATAACAATTTTACAGCCTACTGTATCGCCCCTGTACATGTTTAGAAGATGAACTAAATATATTTTCCACGCATCTTATACTCTTTTCAAAACCAATCCAACATAGCGTTTGTACCGGAGGCGCGTAATAATTTACGTTATAAGCGCTGAGAATGCTATATCCTCACATTGCAAATAAGCGCGAAAAATATTGTATACTCCCCTTTTAAAACACAGGAGCCGCTAGACAACGTGGACTTGATTGACGTGTGTCACAAGCCCATCATCTTTGTCTACCAATGAAAACACGGGAACTTGGAGGCGTGTTCGAAACAAGTTTTTATAATTTATGGGACACTGTAAAGACCGGTCTTCGGACTCTTCGGTTATTATGTTGTTATTCAGTAGCGTGCACAGTCTGAAACCTTTCTCAAACGTTTGTTATTACCTATAAACTTTTCTTGTTTTTATTTTCTATTTCTACCTCATTCAGCTGTCAGCAGGAAGGTAGTTCACATTGGAAAGTTAGCGCCATACCATTGTCCAGATCCCCTCCATTAACTCCAATCAGGTCCTAGTAGTCAAGTTATTCGGGACGAATAACTAGAGAAGAGGTAGCAATGTTACCCATCATCTTACAGTGTGTGTGCGGTCTTCATAAGTAAAGGTGCGAGTAAAGGAAGAAGTAAGAATATTCGGGAAATGTCTAGAAATGTTATTCCATGTCAAGAAACATCCTGACGTTTCGGGAAGGTTCTAGAAGGTCAAAGCGAGATATATAAATCGCTGATCCTGACTTCAGAGTTTCAGTTTTATAATAAACTTTATACGTTCACGTTATCTGTTATATATTTGAATTTTAAAGTCGAAATAAATTGAGTTACCAAAAACCTGCGTAACAGTATTTAGGATTCTGAACAATATTGACTTCTACAGTTATCAGATATTTTTTGCAATACTCATTCATCTATTAGATCTGCTGCGTAAAACTTTAAATGTTAAATGATATATTTTGTCTATCAAGAATGAAACTTTAAACTTTTCTTTAATACCGTTTATATAATGTTTCTGTTAAATTTTGATTTGTGTTGTACGAGATGGCTTTCTGGAGACCATTTGAGGTAAATGTAGATGCTAATGAATTGCAGGTTAATGATGATAATATTCGCATTAATAATGAAATTGCAATAAATAATGAAATTCAGAATAATGATGATGTACAATTAAATGCAGTACAAATTAATGATGAAATACGTATTAATAATGCAATTCAAAATAATGACAATCAAGGTAAAACACAATCTTGGGAATTCAAAAACCAAGACTTACATATTCAAGTTCAACAGGTCATTTTAAATATGTTTGTGTTAAATCAGAAAATCCAAATGTTTCACAAACAGATGCAGTTAAAAGAATATGTAAGTTAACAAAAATCCCCTATTCCACAATTTATTTCGTTATTAAACGAGGCGTTATTGAACACAGTCAAAAAAGAAAACGTGTCGTCAGCCGTCGGATAGATGATGCATCTAAAGATGCGATTCGACGAACGGTTTACAACACATAGAAAACCAAGTCCCAACCTTAGAGATACTTTTTAGAAAATTACAAGATTTTGAAGATTTCAAATATAAATCATTAGAATCACTTAGACAAATTTTAATAACTTGTGGTTTTAGATATAAAAAGTTAGATAGCCGAATGTGCATTATGGAGTCGCGTTGAATTGTGGAATTACATCAAATTTATTTAATGGAAATTTTTAAATTTAGAAATAGAAATATAGTTTATTTAGATGAAACATGGTTCGACACTCATGATGTCGTTCAACGTGGTTGGGCAGACGGTTCACAAAATTGTGTTTTAAATGCACCATGCTCGAGGGGGAAACGAGTCATAATTTTACATGCCGGAAATGAAAATGGCTTTGTACCAAACGCTTTGCTACTTTCAGCAAAAAATATCAATAAAGCTCTGCTGGATTATCATGAAGATATGAATGCAGCAGTTTTTGAGAACTGGTTTGCTGAACAACTTTTACTGAATATTTCACCAAATTCAGTCATTGTAATGGACACAATGCGTCATATCATTCCCGGCAAATTCATAAGAAGCCAAATAGTGGCTCTAAGAAATCAATTATAATACAATATTTAAAAGATAATAACATTGATATTCCTGCTTCCGTAAAAACAAAACCACAATTGTTCGAAATTTGTTAAAAGTAAGAATATTCCAATACAGTATTATATTGATAATTTTGCAAAGGATGGTGGTCATACTGTATTGAGGTTACCACACCTTATTATTGTATACTTAATCCAATTGAGTTAGTTTGGTCTTCAGTTAAATAAAAACTGAGACGTAATAATTTTGCACCTACCTTAACAAATGTGGTTTTGGAAAATATTAATGGCGTTTTTAAAGATCCGTCTTTGACTGATGTTTGGAAAAACAGCGTTAATCACGTCATTAAAAAGGAAAAAGAATATTATGTTTTACCTTCTATAGCTCCAGTAGTTATAAATCCAAACCTCGATTCCTCGACAGATGGTTTTGATTTAGATTCGGATTAACTTTCTTATTTTTCATTATTGGTAATCCGAGAGTCATCACATTAATACATTTAGAGTTTTGTTTTATTTGAAAAGAATTTATTTTCCTTTATGGTTTTTGCTTTGAAATTTCGTTTTCCAGAAAAAAAAACGAGTGGGGTACAAAAAGGGCTCAGTTCACGTCTGGTACCCTGTTTAAACCAAACGCCCTTACAGGCAGGCACATTTTACTCGTCAATTTTCGTTTTATAATTTAATATTCAGTTGTAGCAAGTTAACGAGCTATAATAATAATTTTTTTAAGTTTCAAGTAGAACTATAATTAAATGCCTTCCAATTATTCATAATGGAAGAATTATACCCAATTAATAATTTAATTTTAATAATAAAAAAAGATACGCCCATGTGCGCGGTCCCTTTGAAGTCGGTTATAATGCCGTGTTGGATTGTGTCTAGAAAGACTATACTAACAACATTTTTTATATATGTATTACATTGCCAGCGAAAATACTGAAAAATTAAAAAAAAATCGATTACGATCCATTTTAAAGAAATCATGTAGAAAACAAAAATCAGAGAATTATATCACAAAAAACTTTTATTTGAACAATTTTCTTAAATTTTGCATTTTTGTCAAATTTCTAGAATATAGATACGGGCCATTTTATAAAGACAAAAATTATAGAGAATAACATCAGTAATTTTTATTTAAGGAATTTTTTTCTCCAAGCCTAAATAACATTCCATAAAGTAGAAAAACGACCTCCCCTACATGTTCCTATTATGCCTAACATTTAATCATTTCACTAAATGTTCGAATTTGCACTTTTTGTCAAATTTCTTGAATACGGACCATTTTAAGAAAATTATGTATTGGACAATAATTAAGAGAATAATATTACAAGCAACGTTTATTTGAAGAATTTTCTTCTATAAGAATAAATAACATATATTCCATAAAGTAGAACGACCCTCTATAAAGTACATCCCCACCAGATTATGTCCAAAATCTAGTCAACTCACCGCAAGATGGATTAAAGGTTAAGTGTTTTTATCTATATCCTTTCATGAGTTATCGAGTATACAGACACACACACACACAGATATCATCGCGAAAATAGTCAAAACGGATTCAGGGCACCTCAATACGTAAAAATCCGCCGAAAACTCGAGGTTGAAAAAAATCATGTTTCCTATACTTTCCTTATCTGTATACAGACAGGAAAATAAAAATAAAGAAATTTATATGCATTTGAAAAAATTGGGAATATCATAATCTCGCGTTTAGATACATAATGTATACATCATAGCAAATGCATGAAATTAGAAAAAAAAAATAAAACGGCTATCGATCATATATGCTTTATATGTATAATAGGCTAACATGTTGCGCAGTGGCGGCTGGTAACCAAAAGATGAGGGTTCACAATAACAAAATATAGATCTCAGTACAGATGTAGGTAAAAACTTTAAGTCTTTTAGGCATACCTTTTTAAAATTTAAACAAAAAACGTAAACATAAATGAAACTAATTTCATTTCTGAATTACCCCGTGTGTGCACATCTATCACCTTTCTGAAAAAACGTATACTTTTAATAGCATAAATTCAAACCATTTCGAAAAATTCCATTTAAAATGTTTTAGCCACTATTAGGCATTCCAACGACCTGTCAAACAATATGTGCCAGTGGGAAATTCTTGTATATCTAAGGGGGTAGCGACATAGTCTTGCAACTTGGACGCTAATTTTATTCAAAGTAGTAGTCGCCAAGCCTGCCAATTTATGAAGAAATGTATAGGTGGGTTTTTTAAATATTATTTTTATTGTGTTTAACATAAAATATTTAAATGTAATCCATTATTCATGATTTTACGTAAAGTAGATAGAATACACCATATGTCGCCACCGTTAGATATACCAAACCTGCCCACTGGTAATTCATTTGTTTGGAATGCCTAATATCTTTAATTTACAATATTTCAACAAAGTAGGCTTAAAAACAAAGATGTACAGCTTTCAAATGATGAATTATACGTTTTTTGTTCAAATGTACCACAGACTCGAAAAAGTAAAATTGGCTGTAAAATAGAACATCATGTTCTATTTATCGTGAAGTCCTTGAAGAAATTCATGAATTTATTCACGTGAACGTTCTACATCTATCAATTTCTTCATGATACATTCATTATACTAGATGATCGCCCAACTCTCAAAATTGTACTAGATTGAAAACATTTTCTAATAATCGATCATACTTGATCAGAATCCTGTAGATACTTCATTTTTACACAGCTCTAACGAATCGACGAACACTTCACTATTATGTTCATATTCCGCAACTTTTTCATTGTTTATTAACTCGAAATTCATCGATATCGACCTCGGTTCGGCGTAAATCTCGTTTTCGATTATAAACTCGTCTAAATCGTTTTTTGAATCCGGTACAATCAGTTCATTGTAAATATGCGGATCGCTATTACGGTAAAACAATTTCATATCAACGAATTTGTAGTATTTGTGTGTGTCTGAGTTATCCGCTTTATCCTGAGGAACCGTTGAATTTTGTATATTGGTTTCCAAGGAGTCTGGAGTGATGCTGTCTAGTTGGGAGGACGGATCTGAAGCGTTTCTAAAAAAAATAATTCATTTAAAATCACAGAAAATAAGTATAAGTAACCAAAATGGGTTCTTATGCAATGGTAAAAAGGCAAAAATATAAATCGGTAGATTTTTGTCCTGTCTCGAAACAGTTATGACAAGTGACAGTTACGACAAATGAGCCTAATCTCGACTAGTCTTAACAAGTGATTATTTAAAAAATTCCAAACGTTATAGGTTGGGTTTAACTATTGGGACACTGAAAGAGAATCGTAAAGGTTTAGGTATATAGGTGATAATTAAACATAAATACCTGTCACTCGACACCATCATATCTGCAGGTTTTAAAATAGGTCCGAAAAATCTGGTCGATCCAATGACGTTTTCTGTAACGTTTCGTTTTTGGTTTATGGTCAACGATTTGTGCGGTCTAGGAATGTCGTAGTCCGGCTCTGAGAATCTTCTTTGTTTTATGGGCAACAATTTTGACAGCTAATAAAAGGAAATTTCACATTATTTTACTTTAGATAAGTGCATGTCGGTGCAGATGTTGTTAATTTTTTATCACGTGATCGAGGATTAGATTTAAATGTAGATGTAATAAACAAACGCTCTAGACTTTATTGGTCACGTGATAAAATGCTCTTTTCTAATTTAGTTTAGAGCGGTGATTCCAAACTTTGCCGCTACCTCTTCACATGGGCGCCTTCAAATACTATAAATGCTTATTCATAATTAATTGGGCCAGGACTGTTGGAAATACATTCAACATATTGAATCAATTCATAAGTCCAACCCTGCGTAATAAATTTTAAGAATCAACAGATGTAACCGTAATACTGGCTTGGAGCTTGCATTATCCTCGACAAGAAACAATTTCAAACAAGACAGTTATAATCTTTAGCCAATCAAAAAACAAAAACCGATTCACAAAGACGCTTGAAGGCTGTAAAAGAATCACAGTGTCTAGGTACACGCTAACCTGTACGCAATTCAAAAATTTATATACACGCGAAACGTCTTGACAGAGTAGGTGAGCTGTGTGCAGGCCGTTGGTGTCTACGCCGGTCGTAGCTAGATATGCATTGAAATTTTTTTTACGAGAAGTCGTTCCTTCGTTTTCCTTTTGTCACGGCATTATTATTATTTGTTCATGTATGTGAAATTTGCTTCTAAGGTTTATAAAATACTACTGTGCTAGTCACGGCGTAAATGAAAACAAACAAGACGCATTCACACAAACACCTCCCACCACAGCAATATGACGTTTCGCGTGTATATAATTTTTTGATTTGTGTACACTTTAGCGTGTACCTAGCAACAGTGTAAAAGAATTGAATGTACACCAAAAAAGATAAAGGTAAGTTTGATTGTAAATCATATACTTACGGCGGATTATAATACAGAATAATCGTATTCAGGTACCTATTTGAAATTTGTTATAAAAGTCGTTTATTAACAAGTTAAACATTATTTTTGTTTTTATCGAATTTAAAAAAGTTAAAATGATTATTTTATTTGTGTATGCCATAAGTTCCATTTATTATAATACCTATATAGATATACTATTTTACTTTCTGGTAACATTAAAAATATGGTTTTGCTTCATCAAAAAACAGTAACTGCTATTAGCAATTGAATCACTTTCCTCATCCGAATTTACTACATATATAATTAACTAGCTGTTACCCGCGACTTCGCTCCCTCATAAATCCAGAATGATATTATTCTGAGTTCTGGATTTATGAGGTTTGAAACATGTAATAGAGGTTTTTTTTCTCTACAAGTTGGCATGAAAATGTGAATTTGGCAAAAATGGAGTTACGAAGTTCGCTAATTATGGTAACGATATTCATTTAATTTTCAAGGAAAACTGGTTAATGATCGTGGTCATCATTCGCTGGCGGAAGTCACCCTCGCCTACCCGTTAATTCCACGGCGAAATTTCCCAGTAGCATTTCAGAACGGGCCTAATTTTCTTCAAATGAAATCATTTTTATCGGCACAAAATGGAGCATAATATTTATGGAGATAAGAATATGTTTTACGCTTTCCCACCTAATTCTGAGACAACTATCCTTACAAAGGTACAAACCTATAATGAATATATTTAACTTACCTCTTCGTCCGGTATACTTGCTCCATTCAGACTAGAAGTCACTCCAGGCGCCAAAATAGGAGCGCTAGTTACTTTAGCCAATTCCTCTAACAATCTGCTTAATTCTCCTGCATCTATTTCGTCTCTATGTCCGTTTTTCTTGCAGTTTCTCAACACCACTTCGTTCTCCGAGAATTCCGGCTCGCTAAATCTCTTTATCAGCTTCTTGACTTTGTTTTTGCGCGATTCCGGATTTTGGACGTTTAGTTCTTGTAAAATCTCGTCGAGGCTTTTGACGGTTTCCAACTTTTTGTCGTTCTTCTTCTTAGGTGGTAATGTTAGAGGTTTGGTCTTGGGGACATTGTGGAAGGGAGAAGTCGTATCTATTTTGGAAGATTTCATTGGTAAATTGGGAATTATATTTTGTTGACAATCGTCTGCAACGTGTGCTTGTTCTTCGACTCCAATATTTTCATCAGATTCGTGGGGTTCGGTAGTAGTCGGGGAACTCATACCGCTAGAAATTCTTTCCTAAAAAATTGTTAAAATATTTCGATTTCCAAACATTTATACATTACTCACAATCAATATAGGCATCTTCTGTTCTAAAATATTCTGTAACTCAGACAGCATTTGTACTGCCGTAGAATCAGTAACGCAAACGTTCTCCACAACAGCAGTGTTAGGTACGGTCTCATACAAATCTTCATCGCCTACGTTTTCGTCATATTTTTCTTTGGTTTTATCCTTTCTTTTCCACACCCTCCTTATGAAACTGGATCTTTTTTTAAGTTTGGGCTCTTTGTTGGCATCGGTCTTCTCTTCGGATTTTTTCTTTTTGAGTTTGATTTTCTTTTTGTCTTTTTCGTCAGAGGCTTCTTTCGTTTTACTTCGATCGTCTTCCTAAAATAACAGTTTTAGTTTGAAAGGGAAAATTAAAGAAATACATTCATTATTTCGTATAGTATTTCTAGTCACAAACTAGCAAAGAAAAACTATTAAAAATTAATAATAAAAAAGAACACAACACCAAAAGTGAACAACATATAGATGGGCGATATGTTTTAGAACTGTTATAAGTAATTGCTGGTTAATAATAATACTGTTCCTAATTTACCCCCTTACGAGTGAATTTCAACCCCTGAAGCCGACTGAGCTTGTGTTGCGAAATAATATTAATATTTACCGCTCCAGGGCAATTTAAAGATGATTAATAGTGCCATTTGGGTTACAGATGTGGAAAACCCGGAAAAACCTCACCCAACATTATCGAAACGGCAATGCATAGCGATTTGTAATCTGGATGCCAGATTAACTGCTTAATACTCACATCAAATCCTATAATGAACCATGCAAATTAATTACAAATTCACGTGGTATGCTCAGGATTCGAAACAGTTTTGTTTCTCAACCACAAAATTGCCTATAGGTGAATATACCGTTAAACTGGGTGACTCGGGAAAGTCGGTTGACTTGGGACAAGTGTACGCCATTTCTGAAAAAAAATTGTAGCGAGAACGCATGCGCTGGGCCGGCGGCGGAATACGGTCAGTGAGTCGTGTTTACTTATTAGTTGTTAGTGTCTCATTCGCCACAACTGCATAACATTTCGTTTTCGGGAAAAAATTAGACATTAGAGCAGCAGAAAAACGATAAATTGTGGTGTTGAACTATTGGAAGGTAAGTGATATTTGCTATGAAATTTGTTTTGTTCGCTCAGTTGAAACGTTCTCAAGTTGTCTTAAGATTTTTTTATGCTGCTAAATTTAATTTTTTTTTTATGGTTGGAAATCTAATCTCAGGTTCTTTTCAGGGTGATTCGGGACATGCCCCGAAAATATATCAAGAGGCTTGGTTATAGGCCATATCAGAATTATGAAAGCAAAAATTTGCAGAAAGCTGTTCAAGAAAGGCTGGAGAAGGAAACCAGCTATAGAAATCTGGAGATTAAATACGGAATACCTAAAAATACAATAAATCAGCATGTGAAAAATAGGAATGTGAAAAAACCTGGTTGACAATTAGCCATAACGAACGTTGAAGAAAACAAAATTGTTAGTTCTTTGATGTGTCTTGCCGATTGGGGATTCCCATTAGAACCAATGGACGTGCGTATTTTGGTGAAACAGTATTATGATAAAAGGGGTGTAAGCATCAGAAGATTTAACAATAACTTGCCAGGGCCGGACTGGATGAAATCTTTTCTGATTCGCCACAAAAATAATTTAGCACTGAGACTTTCGGAGAATATAAAACGAGCAAGGGCTGCAGTTGATAGACAATCAATCAATTCATATTTTGACGAATTGAACACATCTTTTAGAAAATGTTCCTCCTTCGTATATCGTTAATTACGACAAGACAAACTTTACTGATCACCCTGGCCGTCAGCGAGTCGTAATTCGTAGGTCCAGCAAACATGCAGACCGTATTCTTGACTCCAGTAAAACATCGACATCTATCATGTTTGCCATCAGCGGATCTGGTGAAATGTTACCCCCATATCGTCGGTCTAAAGCACACTTATTGTATATCCAAAAACGCATTTTTGGACAATCGCAAATTTAAACTTCTAGAAAATGTAATTAAATGCCTAAATTCTCAGTTTTAATTTGAATTTATTGTAGTTTGGTGGGTGTTGGAGCTACAATGTTTGTGCCCAATAAAGAAGACTAAAATGCGATTTAATTGGTACCAAGATCGTTATAACATTAAATTTGGAGTTACAATATGTGTGCTTTAGATCGACGATATGTGGTATTCAAATCAGAGCATCTTTATCAAAACTGGGTGAAAGATGGGCCACAGGGTACTAGATATGGAAATACTAAGAGTAGATGGTTCGATTCGAACCAATTTGAAGAATGGTTTTTAACAACAGCTATGGCGAAGGCGCTTTCGAGTACATTCCAGGTAGAACGTGATAATGTTTTTAGTTTTGGTTATAAAGTTCTAGACCACCACCACAATTTTAAATGTGTACATAAATATTGGTTGAGGAACACTGAACAGTCAGTTGTATATAGACAGTTGTGAAGATAAATAGTGAACAGTTTAAAGACATTCGAAATATATATATATAAATTATAATAGTATTGTTTTAGTGTTTAAATAAATTATTAACAAATAAACAAACGTTACATTATTATAATATAACCAAAATTTTCATTTTCTTTAACTATTAAGGATGGATATCTAGTTGATTGCCATTACTAATTCGATTCTTTATACGGATATCACTTACTTTAAATTATATTTTATTCTAATAACAAAAAAATATAAGTTAAAACAAAACAAAAAATAGTAATTCGTGTAACAAGAGCGTACATAAGGACAAAGTTTGAGCACGATGTCGTAGGCACTCTAAATGTGAAGTATATTTTTTTTCTACGACCCACAAACGAAAACCTACAAAATTTTAAAATTAACAGCTTGGCTTTGCAAGTCATTTATTGGTGCTGTGTTGCTCTGCTAATCATCTCCATCAATAATTGGTGCTGCGTTTGTTTGCTGACCTTCATCATCATTAATTGGTGCTGCATTGGTCTTGTTTGACAGCTGGTCTTTTGGTGTCAGATATCACATTGTCATCCATGGGTAGGTTGATTTCTTCTAATTTTTATGAAACTCAACCAGAGTTGCAGAGGCAAATGATTTTTTTTGACTGTCCTAAATTTCTTCGCGATTTGGTTTTTATCTTAGAACATATATAGTCAGGAAGGAGCATGCCATGTCCGCGTTAATCTAATCAATCTGACGGAAGTGGTAGCCATGTTGTACTATGGATGACTAATCATCATATTGTGATAAATGGTTTCTAAAATTGGTTTATAATTTTAGTGATTAAAATTTGTTAATAATGTGGATGTTTTATGTGTTAATTTAAACTTCTATCAAGCGCATGTTTTGTAGACATTTTTAAAAAGTGTTTAGTGTTTTAGTATTTCTTTAGTATTTTTTTTTTTTTTTGATGTCATCGGCGTCGACTACTACGGCCATTAGCCTCGTGTTCTGTGTAGGCTTTGTTACTGTTTCCCAGCGCCACTTTAGGAACAGCACTGTTAATTAGAACCCAACAGTGAATGGTCGAGTGGGGAATCCTACTTAATATTTAATTTTTTTTAATTAAATAAAAATCCCTGACACCGGTGGGATTCGATCCTGAGACCTTCCGATCTCAAAGTCATGACTAACCACTGAGCCAACCCACCCCACATTTATTTAGTATTACTGTTAATTTTAAATTTTCCGCGCTAAAAGACAAGACAATATGGTCATTTGTTCGTCTTGTGGATATAGCAGCACAGCTAAAAGTAGAAAGGAATAATCTACATTTCATAAGCAAGTATTTTGTTCTCTCAATTTTCAATCACAATAAAGATTTTTAAAATTGTTAATGTTTTAAATTTGTAAACAAACATGGTAAGTGTGTCTGCGATAAGCTGTGCTCATAGGCGTAGTTTCATGGTTTATAGGACATATATACTTTTATTTAAACAATTCTTTTATACAATTTTAAGATATTTATGTGGTTGTTAAAATGAATAAATTGTTATTCAATTTAGATTTATAAATTGATTGCAAGTAAACAATTTTCAGATTTACAAATTATATAAATTAATCCTATTAATAAAGACGTAAAAAAGTCAATATTTTTTTAATACATTATTGCTTTGATTTTTCAAATGAAATCCCACTATAATTTATCCCAAATTTTCAGATTTACTAAAGATTCTCAAAAAAACAAAGTTATGGCTTGAGTTCATGCAACAAACAAATTGTGAGCCAAAATATCTTAATTTTTTGTGGTCACGCCATTTTAAAGCAGATTGTTTTGATCGAACTTCAAAACCAAGAATAAGACTTCTACCAACAGCTGTTCTAACAATAAAAGTGGTCCTGTTAAAGTATATAAGTAAATAAATTCTTTACTAACTATATCATGTGCCGTTTTTTTCGTATATAGAAGTTTATTGTATGAATGTGATGCACCCTATATAATTTATTACAAAGTTATTTACAAAAACGATCACAAATAGAATTAATAATATCTCAAGTAAGAAAATAAGTAGCATGCTTCAAGATACTGTCTTAGGTCCTATCGTGTTTAATTTTATTTTAATTAATTTGTCTTTAAATACAGATGGAAATATTGTAAGTTTTTCAGTCGACACAGTTATTCCATAAAATGCAGAGAACTGGAATTGATTAAAATTATTAATAGAAACATCTTATAAAAATTTTCGAATGGTTTATATAAAAACTTACAAACCTTTGATAAAACTTATGTTGTTCCATTATACAGTTACAAAAAGATGGCCTCTTCCTATAGAAACAATAAAAGGTAATGTTCAGTAGTTTCATATAAGCATTACAAATGATATCAAATACCTTAGAGTACAAATTGACTCTCATCATAACTGGACTAAGCATACAAATAATGCGTTGAATGTATATTTAAAAATAATCTATTTTGCACTTATAGAATCATTATTACGTTATAGGATCCTTTCTTGAAAAGGTGTTTTACCTGCTTATGCAAAATTGTCCTGCAAAAAATATTACTAATAATATTATGTAATAAAATGATCAGAAATTCTCTTCGATATTAGGAAGTTTTATATGTACTCTAACAAAAACATCTAAGAAAGAAATATAACAGCGGTGTTTGACCTAAATATAAGTATAGGATATTTAATTTTTTTTATCGCATATCTAGAAAACATTTATTTTTCAAACCTCATTAATTTGTAAAATGTAGATTAATAAAAACGTAAAAAAGTCAATATTTTTTTAATACATTATTGCTTTGATTTTTCAAATGAAATCCCACTACAATTTATCCCAAAAATATTTTTCTATATTTATCCCACCCAACATGCAATTTTAAATTAAAATTTACTCAAACAATGAAGGTTAATAAAAAAATGCAAACGTTTCGCAAGAAAATAGCAATTCGTTAAAATGAGAGAAATCGGTAAATTTAGATAATATGTAAATGAGACTTTATTATTTTAATTTCTACGTCCCTTTATGACAGTACGTCACTGGTAGACCGGAAACACTTATCGCCATATTCGTCTAGTTCACTGTCAAAATTAGATACCATCGCGATTCCAAGGTCGTTTAGGATTTCTCCTTCCTGACTATATATATTCTAAGGTTTTTATAAACGTTCATGTCACAACCAACTACTCCGGAAAATTCGTCTATTTTTCACGTCAATCACCCATACGAGTGATTATTATTTAATTAGGCATTCCAACGACCTGTCCAAATGGCTACCAGTGGGTAATGACAGTTTAGATATGGCAATCCTGTTGTCAAGTTGTCATTAACAGGGTCAATGATACATATATAGTTATATAGATTGCTCAAAGCTGGTCGTTTACGAGCGGCCATATTGCCTGGCAAATATTTATTAATTTTAATCGGTTTAGCAAAAATGTGTTTTAAAACCAATTATTAGCCTTTAGATATTTAAAAAAAATAATTGCTTACATTTTTACTTCAAGGCATAAGCTTATGTTTATTTTAAAAAATATGGATGATCAATCTGTGTAACTATCTATTTCATTGACCTTGTCAATTCACCAGGCCTACAGGGTTGCCATAATTTTGCCATATAACCCGTCAAAACCCACTGTTAGCCATTCAGTTTGGAATGCCTAATTATGCACTAATTTAGTGTTATTCAATTTCACTTTTTTATTGTTAATCACTTGTGTTTTATTGAAATTCACTTACTAATACTATTTATTAACTTAAATCTACTATTATTTACAAGAATTGAACCTTAATATAAAAACATTTTCCAAAATTATTGACCTTCAAAATAATTATTAAAATCGTTTTATTGCTTTATTAATTCGTTTTAAGTTATGAAACTAGGCAAAAATTATTCTTAGATTGGGTTTCACATATTAGATACATTAAAACTTCTTTAGAGCCATTTTATTTTCAATTTATACAAATTCGATGTTGTGGTGTACGTCGCTGTCGTCATTTCTCCCCAGCAAATTTAATTCAAGATTAGGAAAGCGATTTTAATGTTTGTTTTACATAGCTAAAGTCATTTATGCTATAAAGAGATATATTTCCTCAGGTTATTCAACTTTTATTGATGCTATAAAGTTTTAATTTGTTCTATTTATTTTATTTAGGTACTTTTTGTTATTATGAAGTTCTTATATATTTAATTTTTACAGATTTGTTTAATTTTATTTCAAATCCTTATTACTATTTTTGATTATTTATTTTTAATGTATTATGCGGATTTATTGTCCGTTACAATATTTATAATAAATGAATTTTTTGATTATGTTTGTTTTTTTATCTAAAAACTGTTAGTCAAGTTAAGATTGGTTCATGCAACTCAATTTTTGCTTTATTATAGCGAATATCGCTATAATAACGCAAAAATGCAGTTTGTGTGAACAAATTTTAATTTGGCTAAGAGTTTTTTAATGCGAGTAGTTTTTACTGTCAAATTTAAATGGCCCCGCGCTTTTCTTCTCTTCCTCTTTTTTTAATTTATGTAACCACATCCGCCAGGTAGCGCTGAAATTCTATCACCGTTTTTTAACATTGGAGTTACCGTTCTAAGAGTAAGTGTTTTGTGGTTACCGTTACGATTTGGCTTATCGGCAAACGCCAGAGGACCTTCGTTGGTATTCGCTAAACCGTTTATGCCTCGCCAAAGAAACCCCTTAGACTTACTTATATATTATTTACTTTTGGTTTAATCAGTTTTGTTTTTTTTTTATTTTTTTCTTTGTCAATTATTGACTAGAACTATTATAAACATAATCTTACCTGGAACAGATTAGGTTCCGCATATTCAATTTTATCTGCGTCTTCATAATAACTTTGAACTTTAGCTGTCTCATCAAAAAAGTTTGGAATCGAATAAGCATTTTCTTCTTCGATATTCTTAGAACGCTCTTTTAGCAAATTATTTTCATTGACGTCTCTAATATCTTCGCCACCGTCACAAGACGAATTTGATTTTGTAACAGTCGCATAATTTTCGTTTTCCACGATTAAATAATCCGTTTTCGGTTCTTTTCTGGAAAAGAACGATTTGGAATACCTCAATTTCTTCTTAGATTTCTTCTCTTTAACTTTATCTTCTTTTTTATCGTGGTTGTCTTGATTTTTGTTAGTAGTTTTGGCCCTAACGTTAACATCCTCAGAGAAATCCTTTTTTTGTATACTAATAGCATAGGTGTCGTTTTCAATGATGAAAGTTTTTGGTCTATTTTCTTCTTTTTTGACTTTTAAAGTATTGAAACTTTGCGGGGGTAGGTTCAGTGATTTTTTGGTGGTTTCGTCGAGTTCTTCGTCTTCATCCAAGATGGTTTCTCTGAGTTCCGCTGAAATTCTTTCGTAGATATGCTGAGAAGATCTGTAATCTAGATTATTCAATTTATCATCATCGACATTTATAATAGGCAAGGGTACACCATCCTTGGGATCTTTTTGTTTTAACGTAGCTACTTTATTAATTGTTCCAATCGGGTTATACGATTGTGCTCCCATTTTCTGTAGCCTTTGGATGATATCTTCGCTCGAATTTTGAGAAGATTCCGATTCCGGTGTGGAGTTTCCGATAGGTTCTTTGGTTTGCGGAATGTTTTCCATGGAATATCGAAAATGGCTCATTCTTTGGAGGTTTTTTTGGGGATTGATTTCCGAAATTATAGCTTGCATCCATTTGTTTTGTTCGTCTCGATTTTCTGCACGCTAAAATAAAAAAAAACAGATTTCAAGCGGAGTACCTCAGTTATAACTAGAGAGCGGAATATATACACCAAAATGTATTCATATTATGCGCATATATATGACTACTTTTATTTAAAATGTGCGAATTTAAATACGGCGGTGCCCAACATCTAATTTCAGGGTAATTGAGTTATTATATCCTAGTGCGTAATCCACGACCCTTATTAATGAGTTTCAAACACTTAAATTGTAAAATCAACAACAGCAGTTACAATATGTACAGTAATACATTTTTTTCCAAAAAATGCAATCTTTTCTAAATTACTAAAATATGCAAAAAATGCATAAGGTAAGCTGGGGTAAATGCAACAGGCTTTTCGAATAGTTACATTTCATAGGTATCTTAAAAATATTGAACATTAAGGATAAAATCTGCCAATTTTTCCTTGTTAAATATAACTATCTATAAATGTATTTATAGCAGTATATTTATTCAATGTGTCTCTGTTTTGTTTTTAGAATATATTTTTTAAAATGATGTCAACATGTTACATTTGCCCCTGAAAAAGGGGTAAATGTAACACTTGAGCTTCAGGTGCGGATAAACGTTGTAGGTATTATTGGCAGAAAGGGGTAAATGTAAAAGAAATATATATTACGAAAAATTTTGTGCAAAAATTATTTAAATCGGTTAATATTTAAAAAAACAACAAGCTTTTCAAAAAATACGTGTAAAGAAGTTGCATTTATTAAAACACAAAATTAGAGAGAGAAATCGAAAATTTATTATATAAACGACAGAAAAACCTCCAACAAACTCTTTTCCTTAAAAAATAGCAATCCTTCCAAATGCAACCTAAAAAAGCTGATTTATTAAACATTTAAGCAGCTAAACCTCAAGTAAAACACCGAAATATTTATAAAATTAACATACATCTTGAGGTGTTAACTAAAATTAGAAAAAGTAAGTAGTTTAAATTAACATAAAACAAAAAGGTTACTCTATTCAAGTTACATAAGATGTTCGTCATACGAGGAGACCAAATCTTTCAGACCAATCAGCCTAACGTCATTTCTCCTAAAAACATTGGAGAAATTGATCGATAGATATATACGGGACGATGTTCTACGGGATAAACCGATACATCGATACCAGTTTGCCTACCAATCTGGAAAGTCTTGCGATGCAGCCATACATAGGCTAACTCAACGGGCTGAACAAGCATTGGAAAGCAAAGAAATAGCACTAGGAGTCTTCCTAGATATAGAAGGAGCCTTTGACTGGGCTTCATACAATTGAATACTGGGATCTATGCAAAGGCGTGGAGTAGCCCACTGCATTACGAGGTGGGTAGAGTTCATGCTTAATCATAGAACCATTACCAGTAATCTCCTTAACACAACAAGAGAGGTCTCAGTTAACAAGGGATGCCCGCAGGGAGGAGTGCTATCTCCTCTTATGTGGACCTTGGTGGTTGATGACCTCTTATGGGAGTTAGAGAGAAAACTTATACACGCAAGCATTTGCAGACGACATAAGCATCGAAGTAAACGGTAAATTTGGGACTGTTGTATCCGAAAGGATGCAGCGGGCACTAAATATCGTCGAAAGATGGTGCCTAAAAGAGGGATTGTCCACAAACCCGACAAAAACCTCTGTTGTTGCATTCACAAGAAAAAGGAACCTTCAAGGAATGAAGGAGCTTTATATGTGGGGACAACATCTAAAAATGGCAAAGGAGGTTAAATATCTTGGAATCACTCTCGATGACAAGCTTAGCTTCTGCAGCCATATAGAAAAAACAACAGAAAAAGCTGTAAGAATACTATGGGCCTGTAGGCGGATGGTAGGGAACGCATGGGGGCTTAAACCAAGTATGATGCACTGGCTTTACACTATGGTTGTAGTACCTGTTATAACTTACTCATCAGTCATATGGTAGCACAAGACTAAAAGCATAACAGCTAACAGAAAATTAGACAAGGTACAAAGACTAGCCTGCCTAATAATAACAGGGGCATTTAGAACTACGCCCACAGCAGCAATGGAGCTACTGCTAGGTCTTCCTCCACTACACCTTGTGGTGGAGAAGGAGGCTATGGCGGACGCATACAGGCTGTTTACTAATGGATTTGGATGGGAACTTTCGAGAAAAGGACACCACACAATGATATTAGAGAAATTAAAACAAAATCCGGTACTAAGAATGCCATTATTCACGACTTCAGGAAATCTTTTGATATTCAAATACCAGAAAGGGCCAAAAGCCGGGAAAAAAGGGAAAAACAAAACGAGTCAATCTGGTATACAGACGGTTCGAAAATGAAAAACAGCACAGGAGCTGGGATCTACCATGTGAACTCAGGGAGGACAATTAGTTTGAACCTGGGGTCACTGACAACAGTCTTCCAGGCTGAAGTAACAGCAATAAATGCCTGCGCCAAAGTCATGCTAAATGACTCTCTTAGAGATAAGAGAATCGTTATCATGATAGACAGTCAGGCAGCCCTTAAAGCACTAAAAAAGTACAATCTAAATCAATATTTGATTGCCAACAATCTCTCCAGGCTCTGGCAGAACATAACAAGGTTACCCTTGAATGGGTGCCAGGGCATGAGGGAGTGTTTGGAAACGAGAAAGCAGACCTCCTAGCAAGGAAGGAAGCGGAAAAAACTCTTATTGGACCAGAACCCACATGTGGTATCTCATACCAACTTGTTAAATGGGTGTTAAAGGAACAAATAAAAAGAGAACACCATAGGCTCTGGATGGAACTTCCTGGACTTAGACAGTCCAAAAGATTCATAGAGGGGCCATCCACGAGCAGACAACATCAACTGCTAAACCTTAGCAGAAGCGAACTCAATGCTGTAATAGGACTCCTTACGGGACACTGCGGCCTTAGAAGACACCTAAATCTCTTAGGGATATCTGATGACTCCCTATGTAGAATATGTGAAGAGGAGGACGAAACTCCTATTCACATACTATGCCACTGTCGGAACCTTAAATGGGAACGGGAATGGTACTTCGGGGTACAATATCCGGAACCTGAAGAAATCGCGAAAGCGCCCATCAGACATATTCTTGAATTCATCAAGAAAATCAATCTGATGGGATAGAAACTGTGAGGGGTACAATAAGCCTCCCAGCTAGCACAAAAACATCCCATCTACGTTAATAAGCTGCAATTTTAGGCTCTTTAAGCTCGCATGCAATGTACTGTAAATGTAACCCTTATATCCCTGCAACTACCGAATGTCCGCAGCGGCAAGACTTTTATAGCACATCTCACAGAAGTTACAAAGTGAAGTTCGAAAAACATCACACTAGCACTTTTACGGTACTTACCCCGAAAGTTGCTCTGAAACGTTCTATTGATGTTATAATGTGAATTAGATCTACAGCATTATACAGTGTGTCCACGGATGGGCTTAACTATACTTGTGAAAATATTTATTTTAAATTAAAAAAGTAATTCTTCATAATTTCTTGCTTGTTAAATAAATTCGATTCACATTGAGAAATTATGAAAAACAACTTTTTCTTTAATTTAAAATAAATATTTTTACAAGTATAATTAAGTCCATCCGTGGACACACATTGTGTAATGTAATACAGAGAGGCTGAAATTGAGGCTATAGTAAAATCTCAATCGAGACATGAAAATTTCAAATAAAACAAAATATTTATATAAATTTATTATTAAAATGTTCTTGAAATCAAGTACCAATAGCACAAAAGTAGAGGTAGGTGTAGGTGTGTTCTTTTATTCAGTGCTGTATCCAGCGCTTGCAGCAAACCGTTCGTAAATTAAGTGATGGAAAGACGATTGTATGTGTCAATCATTCTTTTTTCCAGCGGTGAATTCACCAATGAGCCAAGGCATCCATCGGCTTTAAAAGCCGATGGATATGTGATAAACGAATGGTGAGGATAATCAATCATTTAAGTTAACCTAAAATATAAGAGTTCAAATATAAAATGACTGCAGAATAGATAAATTACATCAATCACTGATGGAACAATTATTGAATAAAAGAACACACCTTATATCACAAACACAAGTACACATGTGGGATAGAAGAAGCTACCTAGAAAGCACTGAATGATTGGACAAAATTAGCTAAATAGTATAATAAGGTACCAATATTGCAAAGGTTCACTAAAACCTTAAATGGTGAACGATGATAAAACTAGATTGGTGAAAAATAATAAACGAATACAACAATGACTAGGTACATATTATTATATTAGATTACTAGAGGATAGCTAAGTTCACTGATTTCTTACCTAAGACGCAGAGATATATCTTTTTTAAATCAAGCCTTTTAACTTTTTTTGCATAGATATTTATAAAGTGCTATAATGTAACCTAAATATGACAATTTATTAGAAGAGCATAAATTATATTTTTATATAAAAAGATTTTACTTCTCAATACATTGAATAAAAAAGAAATTGATAACTTGTTTACCTATAATTAAAGGAAATTATATAGAAATTAAAAAATATGCCTTACTTTGTTGTTTTAAATAAAACAACCAATGTTAGTGTATTGAAATTTGTTTGAATTTTACAAATTTTATGCTTGATTTCCAAAGTAGATATATCGATGGCTCAATCAAAAACCGCCACAAGTCAAAAAACAAAGCAATTACATTTTTGGTTCAATGGATGCAAAATATCATTACGGTTTTACTTTAAATACCACCACAAACAAAAATATCCTTAAAGATAAATCATTTAAAATGTAGCCACAAACTGTGTCTAAAACTGCATCAATTCGAGTTATTTTCTTCAAAAACACCCAAATTTTTTACAACTATGCAACAACTTACTTTTATAATCGTATTCATTTTATTTAACAGCAAAATATCGAAGCTTTTAAATAAAATATAAAGAGTATGTCAAAAACAAAATAATGATAATAGAGACTTACAAAATTTCAAAATGAAATTTCTCGAAATAATAGTATTTTAGTTGTGGCAGTATTTGATTGAGCCATCAATATGTAGATTTTATAAAAAACAACTGGTGTTTTTTAGCAAGATATTCTATTATACTCGAGAGTATCATCTATGATTTCTCTCAACTTTTCTGCTGGGTTTTCACTTGACTGATGGTTGCATTTCCAGGCAATCTAGCTTGTTGAAGAGAATTAACTGCTTGAATTCTGATATACCTGACATATCATGTACCTATAGATTCACTTTTTATAAAACTTCAGGAGTTATATTCTTCTTTACACTTCTGTAGTATTTACTTTTGCTTCTAAAATTCCTAGAATGTCGAAGGAAACCTAAAAAATAATATTTTTAAAATGTATTTTTAGTTCGATAAAGTATAATTACCTTTTATAAGTATTTGGTGTAAAATGTTGCCGGACATTCGGTTAAATGTTTATCTTCTGGTTTACAACGATTGATCTGCAATTTTTTGTTTTTATTGTAGTTTTTTTTTTATTTGGTGTCATCGGCATCGACTGCTAAAGATACTTAATGAATGAAATAATAAATTTACATCAGGCATTGTAATCTGAAACAAAGACAATGGTTTAGAAAATAGTTATCTATTTTATAGAGGACCCTTACCAAATCTATTCGAATGTATAAATAATTATTTATAAAATAAATTCTGGATGTCGAAAAATAAACCATTAAAAAAGACAATTGACAAGAAAAACTGACAAGTGACAATTGACATAAAACTAAACGTTCTGAATTCAGATTTGTAATGTTTACGGTAGGTTAACTAGTGCTGCGTTTGAGAATCCACATCGGATGCATCTGAGATGTAAAAAATCTTTGATCACGTGATTCAGTATACGTAAATGTAATGGGACAGATGTGTCCGATGTGGATAAAAAAACGCTCGAGATGTAAAAAATGCATCCGATGTGGATTCTCAAACGCAGCATAGGTAAATAACAAATAGAAGTTTTGCGAGGTTTTGATTTCCCTCAACAACTTCTCATGAACGTTGCATTTACGTTGTACAGTAATGTTATTACGTTCCCTTAATGCAACATCGCCGAAAGGCTTGGCAACGTTATGTGCTAGCTGGGCTAGAGCTTCAGTACAAGTGGGCTTTGAGCCACGCCCTAATTCAGATGATGATGATACATAAGATGTTTATAAGAAACATTTTAAATATTAAATCCATCAAACGAGATATTAAAATACAGTAACCCTCTTCTATCTTCGAGTGATTCTGGCAAAGACAATGCAATATCTGCTTCGTTTACCGTGTCAATATCGTCTGCAGGAGGCCAATCAAATCTTATCGTATCTTGTCGTTTAGTTGAAATTCGTTTTAAAATTTTTACTTCCCATTCATCTTCCACACATCGTGTGACACGGCCAACATAGTGCTTCGTGTTCTTCTTTGACGTGTACTTTACTAAAACCCATTTCATTTCCTTTACTTCTTGATTTAATTCGTTTTCTTCTCTGTCCTGAATTTCCCTTTCTTGCACTATATTCTGTAGGAACTCCCCTTCATTATCTGATTCTCTGTATTCTATTTCTTCCTCTTCGTCTTTATCATTGCTACTAATATCTTCCTTCTTGCGGCACCTTGATTTAACTGTGTTTTGTTTTTTGAGTTGTTTACCCTCTTTAGTTTTTTGTAGACGCTCTAACACATCTTGAGACGTTAGGACTTCTGAGCCTGACACTACTCTCTTGCGCCGTACACTTTCTGGTCGAGGGCTTTGCTTGATCATTTTCAATAGCAATGTTTCAAAGTTTTTTGCTCCATCTTTGATGGTATCTGCAGTAGACGACGTTGACGGCAGTGGTTCTGCATTTGAAGCTAAATTACTTGTTTCATTAACAGATCCTATAATCTGGATGTTTTCTGTTTTATCAGAATTGGTCCCTTGGTTTATTTTCATTTTGTGCCAACGACGTAATGCTTCTGGACAAAATTGTTCATCTGGTATGACTGTTTTGTTAAATGGGTATATTTCTCCTTTTATAAAACCATTCTGTATCACCTCAGGGGACAGAAGTCTCCAGGTGTCCCCTAAAAATTTTGAAAATAGAGATTTTGGTAGCTTACATACGTCCAATATTTTGGCGTTGCCATGATACTAGTTTTTCATCCCATTTGTCTTTAAAAGGCTTGAATACTGACAAGTCTAACGGTTGAAGCAAATGGCTGCTATGCGGAGGTAATTTAAGAATTGTTATGTTTTCTTGAATTACTAACTGTATTACCTCAGGGCTAATATGAGTCGAATGTCCATCATATATGATAATAGCAGGACGATTTTCATCCAGAGTTGGTAAAACAGTGCGCTGAAAATAGTTTTTAAATATATGTCTCCATCCAGCCCTTTTTTGATGCCGCGTAAACAGTTCCAGGGTAACCAGATCCTTGCGGAGCACACCATTGATCCCACATGTGTAGTCCTTTATAGATAATTAGTGGCGGAGCCTTTTCGCCTGCAGCATTCGCCATTAATAAAATTGTTGTGTTTTCCCTCCCTGGGCCACTAGTAATTCTGGTTGCAGATTTTCCCTTTTCCCCCACAACACGGGTCTTGGTAGGATCAATACACAGACTGGATTCGTCAAGATTCCAAATATTAGCTGGCTTGTCTCTAATTTGAAGGTTGTCTAATGTTGATTCGAGAAGATCAAAATATTCAAAAATTGTAAAAGGATCTGCAGCTTTTTGCCTGGCGTATACTCCATATTTTGTGGCTTTTTTATGCTTAAGTCATGTCGTTTTTTAAATTCAATAAACCAGTCCTGTCCTAGTGACTGATTTTTGGAGGGGGTTGGTAAATTATTTGATTTCATATATTGTCCCACAAGGTGTAGCACCGCCTTCCTCGATAAACCAAAGCACCATTTTTCTAGTGTTTTCAGTCCGGTGGCTAACGTCTGTTCAAGTTGAGGTGAAAGAATCGTGCGACGCCCTTTTCCTTTTTTTATTTTCCCGCGGGAACCTTTACAGTTAGTGCATATTGTTGAATAAGGTACATTAAATACCTTTGCAGCTTTACCAGCAGTCAAACGACCTGCCTTTACTTCCAAAATGGCTTCTTTTAAGGTATTTTCATTATAGGTAGGGCCGTTGGTATTTTTAATATAGTTCCTAACCATGACTCCTAAAACGAAGAAGATACTATTGGAGCAGCAACCTTTACAATTTATCAAATTTTTTTTAGGTGTAAATGTAACATGAGCTGTTGCAATTGCCCCTATATAACATGTTACATTAGCCCCGAATCACATTTTTTTAGGGGCAATTGTACCATCAACAATAATCATTACTAAAACAAAAATGCTGCTAAAAATATTTTTACACAATAAACATACCACCTAAAGTGTAATTCTAAGATCAAACTTACCTGTCTAATATTTACTCAGTCCTAGAAATAGGCTATGGCTTTTATTAACTCGAACTGAAAACTGCGGCGTAAAAATCACTATGACTTTGATCGTTTTTAACGACAGACTAACAAGTCGCAGCAAAGAGTGGTCAGTCTAGAATAGAAGCAGCATACTCCCTCACAACAAAACATGCTCATGGCGCCCTCTCAAACACATCTACAGAACTGTTATTACTGAATAATACATTTACCCCATTATTACATTTACCCCAGCTTACCTATATATGCATATATTATCTAGTTACCTATAAAAATAAATATTTTATCACAAGAAGGAAGTGCTACACGGGTCTGTAATGGGCCGTTAATAACTTACTAAAGTGACAGTAGCTATCCTGGTCTGTACTTGAAACACACCCGTCATGGAAGGACACGGTTTGACTATACAGGGAGGTCCCAAACTGATGGATCCTTTACAGGGCGATATGGTTTCGTAATCGTCTTTGGAACGGTAAAACAGTAAGAGTCCGCCCTCCAATACGAACCAGTATTTTTTGTACGAACTGATCATTTTCTGAAGAAAAAATAATAGGATTTAGATATGTCATCAGAATCTAGCGATTTTTAGGTCTGTTATCTACAATTCTCACCTTTTTCCCTTTTTTCTCGAGATATCCAGATATTTTGGTACAATTCTTGCTGTTTCTGTCCATTTTGATAGGTATCCTAAAATAAAACAAATATATATTTATTTTCAGTAAAATGACTGTTGGAAAAGTGGTATCAAACGATTTACCTTGTTTTTACTCTCTTTACGAGTTCTGTATAAAGCAAATCAATTCTGATCCACCCGGTAATTTTTAGTACAAATTCGGTAAGATACGTTAACAATTTATAAAAGAAAAAGATATAAATGAATAGGTAGCTAGTCCTAATTGGCAGCACAACAAATTGGATCTAATTGACTAACAATTTAATAATCAATTAAGTGCAGACAATGTGTGTTCCGTTTAAATTCGATTCATTTCAGTGCATTTAACTTTTGCTTGCTTTTTTCAGTCATTCTAAAAAGTGAAAACATCACATTCCATTCATTCTTTTTTAATATCAGTATAGTTCTCAAAAGAAAATGTGCCGAGAAGATCAGGCTGTCATTTGGTATCTGAAAATGTTTTAAGTTCTTTAAGTTCTCTCTACAGGTTATTTCAAAAATTACTAAAAACTCGATAATATATATGGACGCCCCTGTATATGAGGTAATAATAATTTTGTCAAAAATTATAATAAGCCGACAGTATTCCTGGAGAACTGCGAAATATTCTTTTTATGGCGCAAATTTAAATTTTCAAAGTCTTTGGTATAATTTTAAAATACGATGGATACTAGATAAGTCTCCGTAAAATGGACCATTTAAACATATTTAGTTTGCCAGGGACAGACTAGCTTTAATATAATAATGCTAATATTTTTTACATCCTGTATGATAAAGACACAAAAATAATATTTTTGGATAGCTTAAAGATTAAACTAAAAAAAGATACTCTTGATCAATATCGATAAAATGACTTGTTTTATTTTGGTTGAAATGGTTTTTCGTATTGGTTATCACTGATAAAATAGTAATTTGTGCAACAAGAGTAGATATGGACAATCTACTCAGTTGTACAATATATTTTTTCTACAACCCACTAAAGGAAATCTACAAATTAAAAAAATATTTTAGGTTATTAAGAGAAAATAACTAATTTTAAAATAATTTATTAATTTTACTGATTATTAAAATAAAATAAATATGAAAAAAAAATTAGTCGCCAGCCGAAAATCGATCCTCGGCTTTTCGCGTGGAAGTCAAGCACTCTGTCCATGCCTCTACGTCCACTTTTACGATTTTGGTCTTTTTACTCGTAATTAGAATAGTTTTATATAGTTTGATTCGTTTGATTAAAATTTAATTTTTTTTTTTTTCAAAATAAAAATAGAAACGATATTATTTACGATTATTTATCGATTCTACACAAAAATAACTCATTTTAATGTATATTTAATGTTAATAATTAAAAAATATACTGACAATTAGTTTGACAGGATTGTCACTTATTTAAAATTTTAAAAATAATTAGGCATTCCAACGACCTGTCAAACAATAGGTACCAGTGGGAAATTCTTGTATATTTAAGGGGGTAGCGACATAGTCTTGCAACTTGGACGCTATTTTTATTCGAAGTAGTACTCGCCAAGCCTGCCAATTTATGAAGAAATGTGTAGGTGGGTTTTTTAAATATTATTTTTATTGTGTTTGACATAAAATATTTAAATGTAATCCATTATTCATGATTTTACGTAAAGTAGATAGAATACACCATATGTCGCCACCCTTAGATATACCAAACCTGCCCACTGGTAATTCATTTGTTTGGAATGCCTAATAGTAGTTGGGTGTCCAAAATATGAACTGTGATTAGTGGTTTTCATTTTTTTGCAGTGTTCTCACTACCTAGAATGGATATGAAATATATTCGTTCAGTTGAACGCAATGATACGTGTAAAAGATGATAAATAAAAATCCTAAGTAATTTTAATGAGTAGAAACTCATATCGATGCTTTATTTTTCTTTTTTTAATAGATTATATATAAGGTGTGATTATATTAAAGAGAATAGTAAATTTTTTGTATAAAAATTTAATGCAGAATATTTGATAGAAGAAATCTTACTACATAGGAAGAGCGTACTATCAGAAAGATGTTGCAGACAAACTTATTTGATTTAGATGCTCTTCAAGTTTGCCTGCATGAAGTTTACGTAGGTTTTGGTAGTGACTACTGGGACTAATTACGTGAAAGTAACAAATACATATTTTTCTACAGTTCATTTAGGGTTTTAAATGGGTTAAGCAATTATCAATTATCCGAATTTTCCGACTTTCCATTCTGATTGTTCTGAAATTTTATAAATATTTATATTTACCGATACAGAGTCTGATAAAAGTGTGTGATTTGAATTCAGAAACATCCTGTACAATAATAATTTAATTAAAAGTTGTTTCGTTCCGTTTATTTTTGTTTTATTAGAATATTGGATAAGTAATGCACCAATTGCAATCACCATATATTAGACTTAATATCAATTTAGTTCCACTTATCACATGATGTAGGTGTTAATAATGTTTAGATCAAGCTGATTATAATTTTATAAAGTTCTTCTCTCTTATAACAGATCTGTTCAGTAAGTGCAAACTCATTTTAAAACAACCAATAATATTATTTATTTGAGTTCAAAAAAATATATGAAATATTTTTGTATATTTTTGACATTTCTTTAAATCATTTTCTACTAATTATTATATAGATTCTAAATGTAAATTCCTTCTTACTCCTTACACACACTTTGTATGTAATCTTTGTCGGACTGCACGTTTATTTTATGTTGACTGATGACAAATAACTACATACATATCAGTCTTTTAGTGCGACTTTCAGTGTTAATTTAAATAAAAATTACGATAGTAAATTTTTCTACACGTACATTTATATTATTTATAACATATATTTATTTTTGCAGCCAATACTTAATTAGTCTAATCTGTTTGCAAACGTTTTTGATGGTGGCAAAACACGTCCTCTATATTACGATAATAGAATCATTTCCAAGAAGAGAAATGTTTACAGAATGAAATGCATAAATTTTATTACCTAAATGGATCAAAATTAATTTAATTGAATCATCAGCAATCAAATAAAAATTCTAATAATAATTACTATAAATAAAAAGTATATTTAATATCTATACGCAGAGTAACCAAGATTTAAAAATATGTACTTAGTTTAAGGGGAAGTAGGACATCCCCTGTCTGAAATCAATATCATGTCAACGAAACTATGGGAAAAACTACATAGGAAACTATCATAATATTGTTTCTTGTTTTAAAATTTAAATTATCTGTAAATTCCAGACGATTTACTTTATACCTCTGGCATACATTTTTGGAATTAAATATTAGAGAAAAATAGATAAATGCAATGTCTTATTGAAAAAAATATGGAGTTTGCCATAGAGAGAAGAAGGTGAAAGTTGCTAGTATTCGCTCAGTATGAAGACATGGTAATTAATTTGTTTGTATGTATTTAGTAATAAATGTTTCTTTATGTTAACTTTTGGGTTTTTTCCGCACGTTAGTAGAAAAAATAGTGTACCTAACACGTGCGTAAAGTGACTTTCAGCACTTGTTAGGTAAACTACTATATTACTTTTAAATAATTGAATCGGTGAGTTCGAAAACCGTACATGTCCAAAATTAACAGTAAAAACCTTTCAACAAATCACGAATTTGTACGGTTTTTCTCCTAACTTCACGGGTATTATCAACTATACTACGTTAACAGATAGGTATCTAGTACGATGAAGAAACAAATTTTAAACAAAATGGCTATCTTACTCTAAAATGTAAAATCTTGGACTTGTACGGTTGTCGAAATCAACGATTCAATTAAAACTTTTCACAGTTAGAAAAACAAAAACTTCAGGATAAACAAAAATATATATATATAAAATGTTTAAAACCAAATATGAAAATTCAGACTTCTATAAAGAAGATTTAAACCACGGTGGAAGTCATCCATTTTATATTGATTTTGGGTACTGTCGGAATTTATTCCAAGGACCAGGCATTTTTCTTATGGAAAAATGGCTTTCCGTCAAATTTTCTGAAATGTTGATATGTTGCAGAACTCGATGCTCTGACAAAAAGTGTCCATTGTCCCAAACCGATTATATGATTAGTTTTAGAGGTACAGGATATGTTAAACATATTTTTTGTAACCAGCTAAGCTACTATTTAATTCTTCTAAATGCAAAGTATGCAGAGCTGAGGTACTCAGTACAAAAACGTACTTGAAATAAATAATCAGTATTTTTTTTACTTTAAGTATTTTACTTAAAGTATTTATGAACTAGCAATACTTTTGGAAATGTACTTATTACATTTGAAAAAAAGTACTTGTACTTGCACTTAAATTAACGCTTTTGTGGTATTACTTGTTACTTGAAAAATGTACTGGAAAATCTAAATCTACTTAAAGTTTTTTCTGAAAATACTTAAGTATTTTAACAGTAAGTACTTGTCTAGTCACATACTAGTCACATTTGAAGAAGTTATACTTCGAAACAATTGTCTTGAAAATTTGAAATTTTTATTTTTTTTATATAGAAGTGCTTTTGAAAATCTACCCAGTTTGGTTTTTCTCATTTAAACTTACTTTTGTATTTGTTTCATAAAAATTTCACATTTAAAATTATTTAGGGTGGATAGTTTTCATTGAAATATCCTGTATTGAACTTGTGAAGAGCTCTAATAATGTATTAAAACAGGGAGTGTCTACTTTTCGTATAATTATGTCATCCAGTAAATCAATTTGCATGTCAAAAGACTACGTGACGCTGACACGTTATTATCATTACTTTTAACAAATTTTAATAAAAGCATGTGTCTATGGCTAATTATATTATAAGCAGGGTTGTCTTTTGTGAAGTTTATTTTGGTGCAGATTAAAAAGTAATCACGCACTCACTATTACCCTGAATACCTTCACAGGTTTGGACTAGCAGACAATGTAAATTATTTCTGCGGAAACCAAGGAAATCTGGAACATATTGTTCTCCAATGTACGAACAATAATCATAGAAATAATATAGAAGACCAATATAAATTGAACACACAGAAATTGAAAC